GCCAATACCACTCCATTTCAGCTCACTAATGCCTAGGATGGGAGCTCTGGTAGCATAGTGACTAAGACACTTACCTGCTAACCAGACGGCTGGCGGTTCAAACCCACCAGCCACTCCTCGGAAGGAAGGTTGGGCAATCCTACTTCCGTAGTGATACTGCCTCGGAAACCCAAAGAGGGGTCACTATGAGTCGGGTTTGACTCGACGGCACATAACAACAACAACAATGCCTAGGATATTGAACTTCAAGTATTCCATTTCATTTTTGATGATTTCCTATTCTTGATTCATACTTTTTACATTCCACATTCTGATTACTAATGGATGTTTGCAGCTGTTACTTCTCATTTTGAATCATGCCACATGATCAAATGAAGGTCCTGAAAGCTAACTGCATTCACATAATTAAGGTCAACTCTGCTTTGAGGAAGCAGCGCTTCCCTGGATGGTTTTTTGATGCATTTGAACTATGGTTTTGGTGAAGAGCACTGAATATACCATGGATTGCCAGAAGAACAAACAAATCTGTCTTGGAAAAAGTAAAACCAGAATGCTCCTTAGGAGCATTAATGGAGAGACTTCATCTTGCTTAAGAGGAAGACCTTCAAGGAGATGGGTTGACACAGTGGCTGCAATAATGGGATCAAACATACCTACTGTTGTGAGGGTGGCACAGGACCAGGCAATGTCTCATTCTATTATTCCTAAGGTGGTGATGAGTCAGAGCAACTCCATGGCACCTAACAACACAACAATGGGAGGGGTGCTAAGTAAATCAATCATGATGAAACCAATAAAGGCTCTGGACATGGAAGCTCCATGGAATTCCTTGTTGGTGAAAGACATCACTGCACATGGGAGAATAGCATGTCCCTTGGGACTTGGAAGCTCCATGCTGGTAATCCTCCCAGATTTGTCAGATGTATCTTTTTCTTTGTATTCTTTTGATTACATTTAAAGCTATACTCATGTATAGCACTTTCTGTGAGTTCTGAATCATTCAGCAAATTATCCAACACAAAGAACTCTTGGGACCTAGCAAGACCGAAGTGAGTAGCCCCCCTGGGGGGAGGGGGCACTCCAGAGCTTGTGTATGACATCCTGAAGGAGTAGAGGGAAACCCCAAAGTTGTAACCAGTAAGTCAAAGTGAGAGTGTTTTAAGTTGTTTCATGTTCATCTTGTACATTTCCTGCCCCAGAACTAGAATCAAACATTTCTCCAAGAAAGTCTGGTTTTTTCAATGGGAAATAGCATTGTAAGAACACAGTGTCAGTGCTAAGAGTGTTCATGGATACCAGATTGGTCACTGTTCTAGACCTTTTCAGTGGACAAAGATGGAAAAATAAAACACCTCATGAGGTCATACTGATAATTACTATTCAAACTCAGGGCTACAGGGTTTTAACCTCTTCTGTGTTACAACTGTAGCTCCTATCTTTCACACAAAATATTCTGATTCTTGAGGACATAGGACATGAGAGTATTAGAATATCTCAAAATTACTCAATTGCTTTTTTAGTCAACACATTCTGTTTTAAATCCCTAAGTAAATCAGCACACTTCCTCTCTCCCTTCTACACAGAGAATGCTACAAGAAGAAAATGTAAATGCATGTTCAAAGCATCAGTCAATCCAGAAGAAGAGCTTTCCCCCCATGTTGCCCAGAGCTGTACGCTTGTCCCAGGATCCTTGTGTAGTCATCAGGCTGGGGGCTGACAGGAGGGGAGACAAGGAGAAATTTGCTTTTCTTCTCTCCTCTCCAGCCCAGGCTGCCCTCTAGTGGAGAAGCTAATGAACAGGAAATAGCCCAAAAAGTCAAACAGGAAGTCAACCTGCTGACATTTACTTAGCAATTACCAGAACTGGTTCTAAAATGGGTACTGAAGGTAGAAACCTCTGTGTGTCTTTAAATGTAGTCGTAATGAGTAGAGGCTGCCCAAATGAAAAGCACTTTATACAAATTATCACCAAGCAACATGTGAAGTTTCAAAATTGTAAGAGGGGAGGCCAATAGAGTTTATAAAAATTATATTTTAATTATGTATTAAGTGATTATAATTATTTTTAAAGAAATGCCATTTTATTTTTGAATAGAACACATAGTTTACCCTAAGATATAAATGCCTTTATATTTTGAAAAATATAGGTCACAGTGACATGATAAATCAAGAATTCATAAGCTTAAAAATATTTTACATATAAAAATTAATCATTGGAGCCAGACATGAAATCTTGTATCATGTAGCATTTGATGTGATGTTACAGAGGACTCATTTTGGTCATAAAACCCCAGAATTTTTTTAAAACATTAACCATGACTTAAATATTGTAGTCAATAATGTACAAGTTCCAGTTACAAAAGCTTGAATTAACAAGATTTTATTCAGCTTTAAACTGGATTAGTAAGTGCTGAGAAGGAAAAGAGGTAAGCAAAACTTCATTATTAAGGAGGTGAGACTAACACATTCCTTTTCTGAACCTCAGGTGCACAAATTATATTCATAGTCTTTTGTTCATGATACATCTTTGTCATTGGTCCATGTAAGGCCTTCTTCATTTTATTATTTGTTTAATGATATAATGAACTGGGTATTTTTAGGTTTTTTAAATCAAAATGGAAACTATTGTTTTTGCATCCTCCAGCCAGCATTGCCAGAAGGACTGATTCACTTTTTTTTTTTTTTAAACAATGTAGCTTGCACAATTTCCGGTGGTACAAAAACAGAAGACATCAATTTAATGGCTATAAGGTAATTCTTTGTCTATAACATGTAGCTATAATTACCAATACCGTTTTGTAGGATATTTAGATTTTATTTCAAGTGTTTCTCCATTATAAACAATTGCTATGCTGAATGTAAGCCTTCATGCAAGTCTAGATAAAATTCCTGGAAGTGGTCCTACTGGGTCAAAGTGCAAAACTATCAGGAAGGGCTTCTGACAGGTAGAGGTAAGCATTCATGTAGATAATCCTCCTGGGAAGAAGCAGGCAGACACAAGCAAGGTAACCAGGATTGGAAGTCTGTATTTGAAACAATAAACGGAATGAACAATTTGTAGGTTCTTAACAATTAAATGCTGTTAGAGAAAGATACTTCCAGCAGATCAAGGGAGGGAGAGACACATGAAGTAATGAAAATTTGACTTTGGGTGACTACAGAAAACATTTCCAACTATCAGCTAAAGAATCTGCAAGACTTGAAGAAATTAATTTAAAGGGCAAAGAGAAGGGAAAGATGATTTTTTCAAATGATTCCAGACTGTCCAGGCTGGAAAACCCAGAAACCATGAAATCCTAAGGTCTCAATGAATATTACAGGGCACAGATCTGCCAACAGGGAAAAGGTGCCCTGCAGAACCTGCTACACAATTTATGGGGACCAGCGTAAAATTAAAACATGAGACCTTGTTAAAAATTAATATTAAGAATTCCGAGGCGGCATCACCAAAGCATGGAACTAAACACGAGGCCCTTTTAAACACAGAACCCTAAAATCTTTAGGAATGCACAAATCGCTCGTCGATGTGGCCGGCGCTGGTAACCAGATGACAAAGCCTGCGCTAGTCTAGCGGTCTAGAGACCAGGAGGTGTCGCCCTAAAGGCTGAAAACACTCTCGCCCTTTTAGGGTGAGTGAGCCCCAGAAGGCAGGCCCAAAGGAACAAAGAGCCCTAGCTCCCCGCCCAACCATACGGGGTCGCTGGGCGGAGGGAAGCTCCCCCAACGTATATGGGAGTGTAGGCTGGGGGCTGAAGTGCAGCAGCTCGGGCAGGGACCTTTGCTCCGGGCACAAGGTTCCCAAGACGTGGCAAGTCCCAGCCATGCGACTCAACTCAGTTACTCATAAACCCGGAGTAGATTGTGGGAGGGAGCACGCGTACACATCTTGGACCCAAGGCCTGGGCGGGGAGACCTCGTGAAGACACACAACCTAGGGAAGGTCTGCAAATAGTGAAAAGCCAAGAGGGCGACTAAGGGCACAACGCGGAACCGGAAAGGCAGTGGTACGTTAGGGACGTCTGCAAAGACAGCGGAGAGGAGCCAGGGATCATCTAAAAAGTTGTCGGAACAGCTAGGGACCGTCTAGAAAGGACCGACCCCACAAGAACTAGGCTTCCGGAAGCTAAATTTGCAAAGGAGAGTGTGGAGGCCTGGGGGTGCTCATCGGTGACGTGAATATGCCCCAAAGACACCGGGAAATAGAGTTCTACTTAGGGCAGAGCCGACTGAAGCTGCAGCTAGCGGAAAGAGAACGGCTCAAGCAGGGGTGGTTTCAGGATTGTCTGAAAAATGTTAAATAGGATATATGTTGTTGTTAGGAGATATATATATATACACATATCTATACATATATACACACATATATACACACATATATATACACATATATATATACACATACATATACACATACATACACACATACATACACATATACATACATACATACATACACATATACATATATATATATATATATATATATAAGCTCTGGTAGCGTAGTGCCTAAGGTACTTGACTGCTAACCAGAAGGCTGGCGGTTCAAACCCACCAGCCACTCCTCGGATGGAAGATGGGGCAATCCACATCCGTATTGATGATGCTGCCTCGGAAACCCAAGGAGGGGTCACTATGAGTCGGGTCCGACTCGATGGCACATAACAACAACATACACATAGGATATATAGAAACATTAGGAGCCTGCAGCAAATTATATCCCTTGCTAACACACATCTCAGTTGCGAATCTCCAACCGTTTCTTTTGTAAGACCCGCTTCTCTACCAGTAAGTCTCGTCCAGTTGTCCCCGATCCAGGAAGCAGCCGGTTCCCCACTTACTCCCTCCACTGTCAAGCCCTCTCTTTTTCCCTTAGCCCCCTCAAGCGCTTTCTCCCGCCCCCCTGTCAATCACCGTGATCCACTGTCCAGTTAGCAGACAGAGCGGGGCGGGACCGTCAGGGACGTTGCATGACGTAGGCGCTCCGCCGGCAGGGAAGCGGGGAGTTGCGTGACGAAGGAGGCGCGTGACGGAGGAGCGGTTGGCGATGCTACGGCGGCAGTCGGTGTAAACAAGTCCTCGCGTCGCCGCGTCCTGCGACCATTCCTGGCTGGTGGGTAGTCTAGCACGGAGCAGTAACCGCCCGCTTTAGCTGGAGGTACTTCCCGGCTTCTTCCTTGCCTCCTTTGGCGTACACACCCCCGGTACCCCACGTGGGCGTGGGGCACGGAAGGAGGGAGTGGTAGGCCGAATTCTAACCTTATTGGCTGTCACTGCTGCCGGCTTTCGCAAGAAAGCGCTCTGATTGGTCGATAAGGGGGGCGTCGGGGGGTCTCTGAGTCCTAAGGCTTCTGATTGGTTAGATGAAATAAGCTAGCGAGGCGCTTTCTTCCGCGAGGGGTTTTGATTGGTGGCCCTGAGAGGTTACCTGGGACTCCACCTCCTCCAGGGACTTTGATAGGTGAGTTTGGGGTAGAAAACTAAGAAATTCCTCTTCCAAGGATTGTCATTGGTGAGTTAGGGTAGCGCCGTAGGCTTCACTCTCTGCTTTCTTTGCTTCACAGGATTGGGGAAGGTTTGTGTTCCTGAAGCCTTGGGAATTGTCACAGGCTTAAAGAGAGGGGATCTCAGTCCCTAGGAGGGATCGCTCTCCTAGAGATAGCTACTGCTCCATCTCAGGAGATCTAGTATTTGTAGAGCAGGCTTTGCTTTCATTGAAGCCAAGGAGTTGACAGGAAGAGCCCCTGAACAGGTCCTAAGGATGCTGTGAACAGAAGATGGGATCACGGAACAGCAGCAGCGCTGGATCGGGGTCTGGAGACCCCTCTGAGGGCTTGCCCAGAAGAGGGACTGGCCTGCGACGGAGTGAGGAAGACGAAGAGGAGGATGAAGATGTGGATCTGGCCCAGGTACTGGCCTATCTCCTCCGCAGGTAACTTACCTTCTGGTGTGTCCCCACCAGGTGCCACCACAGTTCCTTGATCCACCTCCAGGCAGGGAAGTTACAGGGGCTGGGGAACAGGGTTAGCGAGTCTGCAAGCAGATTCTGTGGTGCCTGCCGGGCACCAGTCTTAGTTATCTGGTGCTGCTATAACAGAAATACCCTAAGTAAATGGCTTTAACAAACATTTATTTTCTCAGTGTTAATAGGCTAGAAGTCAGAATTCAGAGCACCAGCTCAAGCGGAAGGCTTTCTCTCTGCCACTTAGGAGGAAAATCCTTGACTCTTCAGCTTCTGGTTCCTAATTCCTTGGAGATGGCATCTGTCTTAGCCCTTCTCTGTTCTGTTTGCTTGTTTAATCTCTTTAATATCTGGAAAGAGAGTGGCTCAAAATACAGCCTACACTCATTCTGTCTCATTAATATAACAAAGATGGCCCATTCCCAAATAGGATTATAACCACAGGCATAGAGGTAGGATTTACAACACATATTTTGAGAGACATAATTCAATCCATAGCATTCCACCCTTTGGCCCAAAAAAAACTCATGTCCTTGCCATGTGCAAAACATTCACACATCCCCCATCATCACATCATCCCAAAAGTCTTAACCCCAAGTCCAAAGTCTCATTTTCTGAATCATCTGGATCAAATATGAGTGAGACTTTAGGCATATTCCAACCTGGGGCAAAAGTCCTCTTCTGTGAACCTATGAAATACAGGATACAAGTTCCCTGTCTCCAAAGTACAATGATAGAATAGGCACAAGGTAGACATTTACATTACAGCTGGAGAAATTGGAAGGAAAGATGGGATAACAGGTACCAGCCAGTTCAAAACCCAGCTCTCGGTGCTTGAAAATAATCTTCTTTCAGGGCCAATGATGGCTGCCTGTATGTCTTCTCATCTGGGCAATGGCCCTGCCCTCCAGACTTTGGGTTGTTAGCCATGCCCTCTGGATCTAGGTGGCAGCCCCATGGCTGGAGGCTTTAGATTCTCCTAGTCCATCTGAGTGGCACCACTACCCCCTCAGCCCAGTCTTCTGCCTCTGGGCCTGACAGCTCCACCCCCAACTTTGGATAGTGACCCCATTGCTCAAGGCACAACTTAATGGAGCCCCAGAACCAAGTTGGCAGAAGAAGATCCAACTCTTTGAAACCTAGGAGGCTGTGCAGTCCCACTCTTTAAGATTCAGGAGACCTTCTCCTCACCCTTTGAAACAGAGAAGGCCCTACTTCCCACAATCCTTCCAGTAGTTCTGCTGATCTCCAAGCTGCTCCAGAGATGGTCCTCTTCTTTTCTTGGAGAACAACAAATATAGTTCCTTTGGTCTGTTTCCTGCCTGTGGAATTCTAAGAGGTAAACAAGTTCTCTCCCTTCATTCTTTCTCTGTCCTCTTCAGTCTAAGCTGATGGGTTTTCTGCTGTGGTAGTTGGTTATATCCATCAATCACAAGCTTAATCATTCTAACAAAAGATTGTGTAGCCACATCATTGGTGAAAATTCTAGGACATGTGTCCTTAGTAAGTCCATCTTTTTCCTTTGCATTTTACTATAAGTGGCAAGGAGAAACCACACAGCTCCTTTAAGATCATGCATAGAAGTCTCATAAAGCAACTATCCAAGTATCATCATTTAGAAATTCTGCCTTCCCGCAAACATTTGAACATAATTCAGACAAGTTCTTTGCCACTGCATAAAAAATATTGTCCTTCCTCCACTGTCCAATCACATGTTCATTGTTTTCTTTTAGAGCATCTCCAGAAGCACATTTAATGTCTGCATTTCTAGCAACATTCTGTTGCTGGCACTAAGGTGATAGAGACTTTCTCTGTAGTTCTCCTCACTTCCTTCTGAATCCTTACCAGAATTGCCTTTGACATCCATTATTCTACCAATGATCTCTTCAAGGCAGTCTTGGCTTTTACTACTCAAAAACTCACTGCCATCAAGTCAGATTTGACTCATAGTGACCCCTCCTTGGGTTTCCGAGGTGGTATAGGCGGTATCTCTACGGAAGTAGATTGCCCAACCTTCCTTCTGAGGACTGGCTGGTGGGTTTGAACCGCCAGCCTTCTGGTTAGTAGTCAAATGCCTTAGGCTACACCTAAGAGAGCACCTTAAAACTCTTCCAGCCTCCACCCATTACCCAATTCCAAAAACACTTCCATATTGTAGGTATTTCTTGGATCAGCACTCCACTCTTCCAGTACCAAATACTGCCTCAGTTACCTGGTAGTGCATGCAGAAATACCACCAGTGGATGGCTTTAATGAACAATTTTATTTTCTCACAGTTTGGGAGGCTAGTCTGAATTCAGAGCACCAGCTCTAGGGGAAGGCTTTCTCTGTTGGCTCTAGTGGCAGGTCCTTGTTTCTTCAGCTTCCGTTTCCTGGTTCCTTGGAGATTTTCATGTGTCTTGGCACCTATCTTAGCTCATCTCTCTTTTGCTTATTTTTTTAATGTTTTTTATATCTCAAAAGGGATTGATATATCCTATACTCATCCTGCCTCAGTAACATAACAGACAACCATTCCCAAATGGGATCATAACCACAGGCGTAGAGGTTAGGGTTTACAGCACATAGTTTTTGGAGACGTAACTCAGTCTATAACAACACTTATGGCACTCAGCTTCATACCCAGTAAATGTGGTTGCCTTGCCTTGAGAAGTCTACCAAGAGGACCTAGTCTTATGTTTTGAGGGGGCTGTTCAGGGAAGCCTCTCTTGCTATGACTACCATGTAATCTGTTTTCTAAGTAAGTGCAAAAAGGATTCTGGTGGGAAAGAAGTAAAATGGGGGATAAGAAGAGTTGGGAAGGAAGGAATTGAATTTTAGTAAAGCCATTGATATGTGATATGTGGCCATGTGGATTTACTTGAAAAACAAGTTTAAATTGACCTACCACTAACCTTATTCTTGAGGAAAGAATGGCTTGAAGGGAGTGACCACAAGGAATCACAGGAAAGGGGTGTGACTGTTTTTGTTTCTTTGCTTATGGCTCCTTGGGGATAAAATGAGTTTGAGGATCCTTTCAAAATGCTGAGTCCTGTATTGGATTCCTAAGGCAGAGGCTGAGAAGGAAATGCTCTCAGAATTTTTAGCTCTCTGGGAAGAGAGAACTCTAGTCTGTCAGCCTCCAGGGCTTGTAGAGGTTCTCTATTCCTACTCTGAGAGTGAGCATCCATTTCCTACTGTTTTCTATAAATCAACACCAAACCCACTGCCATTGAGTCAGTCCAACTTATGACGACTTTATAGGACAGAGTAGAACCCCCCAGAGGGCTTCCAAGGCAGTAAATATTTATGGAAGTGTCATCTTTCTCCTGTGGAGCCACTGGTGGTTTGAACTGCTGACCTTTTGAGCAGCCTAATGCTTTAACCATTGCACCACCAGAACTCCATATTGTGTCCTATATGAGACTGAAAATAACAGCCAAAGTCTAGTTGACCTCAAACCCTCAAAATGGGGACACTGTGAGGGTTTGAGTACCAGGTAGTCGTTAAGAACTGGATAGCCACTGGCTCTGAATTTGGTTGGTTTCGGGGAAGGGATTCCCCCCTTTATCATGGGGGATCTCTCCACAGAGGCCAAGTAAGGTTGGTGCAGGGCGGAGGTGCAGCAAATTTACAACTCATCCAGACCCTCTCTGACTCGGAGGAAGAGCATGACAGCGCCTGGGATGGTCGTCTAGGAGACCGATACAACCCACCTGGTAAGAAGAAAAGCAGACTGAGACCCTAAAATTGGAAGACTACTAGAGAAAAAAAATTATTTTGTTTTATTTTGTGTGTGTGTGGGAAATCATGGATTAAATGGAAAGCAGAAAATGAGATAATTCAGGGGATGAGGGAGTCCTTGCAGCCCTAGTATATTCAGCCACTTTGGATGGGTCCCATCTTCCTACATTTTGGATACAGTTATGCTAAGTGTCCTCCAGGGCTGGAAGACCTAGGATTAAACTTCTCCTTGGTACTAACAGTGGATGCAACCCCTGACACTCGGGAGCTGGAACGCAATGAGATCAAGACACAAGTGGAATTGGCCACAGGGCGGCTGGGCCTTAGGCGGGTAGCCCAGGAGCACAGCTTTCCTCGAATGCTGCACCAGGTAGGCCTTACTGTCTCCAGCCAACCTATAGCAGACCTGCTGAGCTAGCCAGAAGCTCTGCCAGCCCCAGAGAGGAGGAAAATAAACTCCAAGGAGGCTTCAAGTGCTTGTGTTAGGGAATTCTTGGCCAGCTGCAACAGAGTTCTGTGGGGCAGTCTTCCTGTATTTGGCGTCCATTTCTGTAGCAAGAGCAGTATCTTTGGAGGAGGGGGCTTGATGTGCCTGAAAGGGCCCTCTGTTTCTACTAGCAATATTCCCCGATCCCTTCTATTTAGAGAGAACGGGGCCTCTGCCACCGGGGAAGCTTCTCCCTTGGAGAACAGTCTCGAGTGATGTCTCAGTGAGTATGGGGCTTGGTGGAGAGACTCTAAGGGCCAGATAGGTTTTATCACCTAAACTTTGAAGGGACAGGTGTGAAACACTCCTCAAAGATAATAAAGTTAGATTAAATAAGGTTGCAGCTTTGAGAATACACAGAATAGAAAAGTGTAGAAATTTAGAGGATGGTGGAATGGATGAAAGAAAAGGGATTGTACTCAAAGCCAAAATGGAAAAGTAACTTTGTACTGATGTCCGAGCTCTGTTAGAATTCTGCTGAGTACTAGTCCAGTCTGATCTCCCCTTACCCTCACATTCCCTCTCCTTCCTCAGCTTCTTGCCCAATGATCTGGGCTTCACTGATACCTACTCTCAGAAGGCTTTCTGTGGCATCTACAGCAAAGATGGTCAGATCTTCATGTCTGCTTGCCAAGGTACCAAACCCTGGTCCCGTAAACTATCCCTCCATGGGACAAGGAACGTTCCCCCCAGCTGAGTTAGAATGTCCCAGGCCCAGGGAGCTCAGAACCTGGCTTTGGGATGCTTAGGCAGAGTATGTTTCCCATGATAAAAGAAAGATCCCACAGCTACCTGGAATTATGATAGAGGTCTGATCAAGAGAGGACCCTAGAAAGCTGTTTCCTAACTCTGCCTGATCCCTACTTACACAGACCAGACAATCCGACTGTATGACTGCCAGTATGGCCGCTTCCGTAAATTCAAGAGCATCAAGGCCCGGGATGTAGGCTGGAGTGTCCTGGATGTGGCCTTCACCCCTGATGGGAACCACTTCCTATACTCCAGCTGGTCTGATTACAGTGAGTATGCACCAGACTTCTGTTGTCTCCAACTGGAGGCCTCAGGTCTCCATAGCCTCTTCTTGTCTGAATAGGACTTCACACCTCATCCTGGGATGATCACTCCCAAGGTGCTCTGATATCCTTGCCTTTGTTCCTGCTTTTCCCTGCCATCACCTCCACTCCCCTTCCCCCAGCCTTGAATGATTCTTGTTTCTCTTTTCTTAGTTCATATCTGCAACATCTACGGGGAGGGAGACACACACACTGCCCTGGATCTAAGGTACTGGCTTCCCTTCCTAGTCAGACTCATCAGAAACTTCTTAAAGAAGGCTCTCCAAGAGCAAAGCTCTTGAACTGGAGCTCTGGCTTAGAGGGAAAAGTACACTGGTTTCAAGTTTCACTCTCAGTTCCTGGGAGGGAACCACCAATCCTGCCAAACAGAGAACCAGGGTAAAATAAATGGTTGCAGGATAATTTCTGGGTTCTCACTGAAGTGATCCACATTCCAGCACGTGTTGGCAAGACCTCTTTTTCCCCTTTGAAATGTGCCTTACAACTCTCATCAGATCCCCTTAGAAAGGCTGAAGGAAAGCCCCCTTACTGAGTACTTTCTTTGCTCTTTTCAGACCAGATGAGCGTCGCTTTGCGGTCTTCTCCATTGCTGTCTCCTCAGATGGACGAGAAGTGCTAGGAGGGTGAGTATTTGCAGGGCGTGTATCCCTTAATTAATGAGATGGAAGTTCTCCCATGATCAGCTCTGCTGTTACAGAGGTTGCACTGGACACCTCTACCCTGTCAGCTGTGGAGGACAACCAGCCCTTCTCCAAGGTCAAGGTTTACGAGTTACTTCATCTCTTGCTCACCATTTCCCTAGCCTAAGATGGGAGTTCCGAATCCTCTGTGCAAACACAGCTAACTCTTCTTCCACTTCCTGTACAAAAGCCCTACAACAGGACTTCTCAACAGGGACTCTCAGGAGCACTTCTCTCATTCCTGGCTCCAACGCTCTCTTTATCCTTTCCCTTTCAGGGCCAATGATGGCTGCCTGTATGTCTTTGACCGAGAACAGAACCGGCGCACCCTTCAGGTATTGCTTCCGAGACTTAGAGCCTCTATCTCCTGTTTCATGAACTGTTATAAAATTTAGAAAGAGGTCCTAGGTATCTTGCCCTCCTCCTACCCTAGATTGAGTCCCATGAAGATGATGTGAATGCAGTGGCCTTTGCTGACATAAGTTCTCAAATCCTGTTCTCCGGGGGAGACGATGCTATTTGCAAAGTGTGGGATCGACGTACTATGCGGGAGGATGACCCCAAACCTGTGGGTGCTCTGGCTGGACATCAGGATGGCATCACCTTCATTGACAGCAAGGTGGGCAGGGGAGGCAGGACTAAGCATAGCCAAGATATTTATTGAGCTTCCAGTTGTCTAGAAGGGCATGAAAATGGGCTGGTGTGGGAACTTGCCAAGCTCTTTATTAGCAAAGGTTTAGAAGAGCTAGAGGTTAAGCCAGGAAACATGAGATCTATCTGTACCCACCAAAAGCTCTGGTGGCATAGTGCCTAAGGCATTTGAGTACTAACCAGAATGCTGGCAATTCAAATCCACCAGCTACTCCTTGGAAGGAAGGTTGGGCAATCTATTTCCATAGTGATACCACCTCAGAAACCCAAGGAGAGGTTGCTATGAGTTGGATCTGACTCGACAGCAGTGGGTTTGATTTGGTTTTGGTATCTGTACCCACCAGTCCTCGAGAAACAGAGCAGGGCTATAGAAGAGAACCTACTCCAGATTAGAATAGGACCAGCCAGTGGCCTGGGCAAAGAAAGGAAAACCTCCCCAGCAGGTGAGATCTGAGGCAGAAAACTGAAGGTAAGCTTACCTGGAAGAAGACAGAAGAAAACAAAGGACTGACATTCCTACTTCTCAACTAGAGAAAGGGAGCCGATGACAGGCACCAACATTTGCAAGCTTTAGTGCTTCATTATCCATGTTTGGATTCCCAGGGCGATGCCCGGTATCTCATCTCCAACTCCAAAGACCAGACCATCAAGCTCTGGGACATCCGGCGCTTTTCCAGCCGAGAAGGCATGGAAGCCTCACGCCAAGCTGCCACACAGCAAAACTGGGACTACCGCTGGCAGCAGGTGCCCAAAAAAGGTAAGAGTGGAGAGGAGAACCTGAGATCTGGCGAGTTGAGAATCACAGTGGCAGTTCAAATACTTAACTGGTAAAGCTTGGCATGGGGACAGTGGATGTGACTGTAGTTTGGAGCTGAGTCCTTGAAGCTCCCCCATCCATCCTGCTTGGCCAGATATTAATCCTTTCTTTGGTGGATCATGGGAAAGGCTCCCAGGGTTGTGGGCAGGCAGCCACTCCAAACCAACCAGTACAGAAATAATTAAAGATTTTCAAACAGCAGGACCATACTAATAGATTGTGAAGTTGTTGCTGCTGCTGTTAGCTGTTGTCAAGTTAGCCTCTAACCCATGGTGGCCCCATGCACAGTGGAGCTAAACGCTGCGCGGTCCCGCACCACCCCATGACTGGTTGTGGATTGGACCAGTGTGATCTGCAGGGTGTTCTCTGGCTCGCTTTTGGAAGTTGATCCCCAGACCTTTCTTCCCAGGCTCTCTTAGTCTGGAAGCTCTGCCAAAGCCTTTTAAACATGGTAACAACACACAAGCCTCCATTGACAAAGTCAGTGGAGGTCATGTCTGTGTGTGGAGGCCATTGGCCAGAGATTGGAGCTGGGTCTCGCCCATGAAAAGCAAGAATTCTACTATTGAATTTTACTGCCCCAGTTGACTGTTAGGAAAATGCCACCAGTGGAGAATCAGAAAGGCAGTTGTCTCTAAGAATTAGTCTTTGCCAAGGGACTGGTGGTAGAGGAGAATGCAGAAGCAGACTCCCTAACCTAGAGCTCTCCCTGTGTCCTCACCCAGCCTGGCGAAAGCTGAAGCTCCCAGGAGATAGTTCCTTGATGACCTACCGGGGCCACGGGGTGCTGCATACCCTCATCCGCTGCCGATTCTCCCCCACCCACAGCACCGGGCAGCAGTTCATCTACAGCGGCTGCTCCACTGGCAAAGTGATTGGTGAGGATTGTGTCAGAACAAGGAGCCTCAGGAGCAGCAAGAATGTTTCTCTAGCATTCTGCCTGTAACTACCAGTGACCAGCTTAAAAATTCCCAGTGACGACTACAAGTGAAATTTAATTTCATTTGGAGCAGAGGAGGCTTAAAGAGAGAAATAGAAAACATTCTTTTGTCAGCATTTTAAATTAAGAAAAGTAACATAGGATTGTGGTCAGCAAATACAGTAAAATACCAGGAACGTGCTGAGTTCTATTTTGTTGCCAGTTGACAACAAGGAGTTGCAAATGGAAGATATGAAGAAACAGAGACACACAAAAAAGTTGTTGTTAGATGCCGAGTTGGCTCCAACACTATAGCAACGCTGTGTATAACAGAACAAAACACTGCTTGGTCCTGCACCATCCTCACAATCCTTGGTATACTGTACCCCATCATTGTAGTCGTGGTGTCATAAACATTAGCAAGTAGTTAAGAACAGACAGGCTCAGTGAATATACACAAAAAACACAAACACAAGCACATACATAATAAGCCTAAGGTAATACTGTCCTAACGCAAGGCCCTCAGACAGAGACCTATGCAGAAAGAGAAAGCTGTACCCATTCCAGATGTGGAATACCCAACTCACATATCTGCAGAGACAACCCGTTCACTATTACCTTCCAAATCTCGTGAGCTTTCTAGAAAATTTCTGCTGAAAGCCACATTACGTTTTTTCAAGTATGCTGTTCTATGCTATTGAGTCAATTCTGACTCAGTGACTCTGTAGGACAAAGTGGAAGTGCTTCATAGGGTTTCCAAAGCTTTGCAGAAGCAGACTGCCACATCTTTCTCCCGTAGAGTAGCTGGTGGGTTTGAACTGCCAGTTTTTCAGTTAGTAGCCAATTGCTTAACCACGTGCTAACAGGGCTCCTTTTTAAGTATTGGTTCTATGAAATTTAGGTAAGGCCCAGAGATAGCCACTGTTTACTCCTTCAATCCGAGGCAGGGAAAAGACTAGGGAAAATGAGATATAACACAGTCTTCTGGTGTGTGCTTTTCTCCCCTGGGAAAGTAGAAAGTTGCCTAAGAGTCAGTTAAGCACTGCTTTTGAGGGAGAGGGGAGGGTGGCTTCAGGGTCCTCTGGCAGCACTACTTGACTCTGACCTGTCCTGAACAGTGTACGACCTTCTCAGTGGCCACATTGTGAAGAAGCTGACCAACCACAAGGCCTGTGTGCGTGACGTCAGTTGGCACCCCTTTGAGGAGAAGATTGTCAGCAGTTCGGTGAGGTTACAAGGGTTAGGGAGGCCAGTGTATTAGGGGCTTGGGCCTGGAATGGGGCAGTACCCCCTTGACTGCTTGCCACCTTCTGCCCTGCAGTGGGACGGGAACCTGCGTCTGTGGCAGTACCGCCAGGCTGAGTACTTCCAGGATGACATGCCAGAGTCGGAGGAAGGCCCTAGTGCCCCTGCCCCAGCGCCCCACCCCTCTATGGCCTTTTCCTCTCCCCAGTAGATCTGACCTCCAGCCCCATATAGGGGTAAGCCTCTTGACAAACTCTCCACCTCCTCCTCCTTTCTCCCTTCTGGGGATGGTTTGGAGGAATTGCTGGCATTGGACTGCGAGTAACAGAAGCCCAGGCTTCTGCATCCCACCTGAGCCCTGGAGGATCTTCCCCTTGGGGCAGAGTGGTCTCTTCATGCTCACACACCCAGTTAGTTTGGGTCTTTATCTGGCCAGGGCCTGGCAGGACTGCCATTATCTGGGATGTGGCCTCTGCCACCAGGAGAATTGTCCAGAGTATTTTTTTAATCATGTTTGGATGTTAGGTGTTGGCTCCTAGAGTAGTATACCTGAGGCCAGGTCTTAACTGACCAGTCAGTGCCTCTTCACCCCTGCCAGGCTCTTTGCCCAAGTCTTCAAGTTGAGGATTAAATTGGCCTGTCAGAGGGCTGGACATCCTGGCCTTTGTTCCTGGGGTCTTGATGGCTAGAGCTGTAGACCTTGAGTAAGGGTGGGATGGGTAAGGGTGTTCCCTGTGGTGGGAAACCCATATGAATGAAGCCCATATGTCTTCTCTAATATGTCAGGGTCTTTGGGGTAGGAGAGGCTATGGCATGAGGGGCAAGAGCTTCCAAAAGCTCCATGTGGCCCCACACAGTGCAGGCTCTCCTGACCCAGTGTGTCCATCATGCTGGAGGCCAGCATCTTTAAGGAGGAAGGTTGAAGTAGGACTCATTTGTCCTCACTGGCTTTGGCTCCCTCAATAAACTTCTTGTGGGAACCTGCCTCAGTGTCTTTCTCCATCTCCCTCACACTCTTTTCTGTCTGAGGTCTTTTAGCCTCTCACTTCAAGAAAAGAGCTCTAAAAAAGCCTTCGGGTATGCTCCTTGCTGGGAGGAAATACCACAAGATGAAGGGAAATACCAAAATCCTGCAACTTCTCCACCAACCTGAGAAATTTATCACCAACATAAGAGACATACACAGGGAAGTGAGCACATGCTAAGTTAAAGCCCAGGAATGCCCACATTAGCTCTGCTCTAGGACTGACCCTGGAGCTGGTACAGTCTACAGAAGAGGCAACCCATGAACACGAGCAAGAAAGAACTTAGATGACACTGATCCCAGGCACCATCCTGGGCACTTCACACTGACAGTCTCATCCACTATGGCCACCCTTTGTGCTAGTGAGGAAACGTGGAAAGAGATCAGGGACATACCCCAGAGCAAACTTATGGTCAGAGGGAGAGCTGGGATTCTCATCCAGCTCTGACTAGCTCTTTCCACTACATTTCAGTGTTCAAAGGCAATTTTCAAACCAGGGTACACACTCCCAGGGGTACTCAAAGACTTTCTCAGCAAAATGTGGTATGCAAAATAGGTAGTTTTAAAAGGATAAAAATTGTCCAGGTCCTAAGCCTCCGTGTGTTTTCTCTCCTTATATTGATCTGTTTAGTGTGATAACCTTTCCCATCTGCCCTTTTTCAGTCCACCTCTGCCCCTTTACCTGAGAGGCACCCATCCATCTCACCCAGAGCTTGTATTACCACCCGGGCACCAACACTAAGGGGCAAGTTAAAGTCCCCAGAGCCTCATTTAATCAAGGCCCCACAAATCACCTGTGCTTCTCATTACTTGTACTCACTGCCATTGAGTCGATTCCAACTCATAGCAACCCCTACTAGGTTTGCAAGGTGGCAAATCTTTATAGAAGTAGATTGTCCCATTTTCCTTCCACTGAGCAGCTGGTGGGTTTGAAACTGCAAACCTTTTTTTTTTTTAAGCAGTGAATTTTTAAAATTTTTATTGTGACTTGGGTGAAAGTTTACAGAGCAAACTCATTTTCTACACAGCAGTTCACAAACACTTTGCCTCATGACATTGACTGCAGTTTCCCACAGTGCAACAGCTTTCTTCCCACTTCCTCCCCATAGTTACCTCTTCCCTGTATCCTTCCCTCTCATGCACTCCTGCTCCCCTGCCCCCAGCTGTCTGCCTATACAAACACAGCCCTTCTGTTCTCCCATGATTGATCTCTCCAATGAGTGTATCTACCTAATGTAGATGTTCAACTCATGCCTGTTTTTTGTTTGGCTGGAAGCCACAGGAGTGGTGAACCGCCACTCTTCTGGTTACTCAGATGCCTTAGGCACTGTGCCACCAGAGCCCCTATGTTTCTGATTAAAAAAAAAAAAAAAAAACCTCACTGTCATTGAGTCAATTCCAACTCAGAGTGACCCCGTTGGATTTCCAAAGTGGTAAATCTTTACGGAGGTAGATTGCCCAATCTTCCTTCCACGGAGTGGCTGGTGGGTTTGAACCACAACCTTCTGGTTAACAGTCAAATGCCTTAGGCAGTACGCCACCAGAGTTCATTTTCAATATGATTTTAGTTTGTTGTTATCAAAATTTATGAACATTTGTTTTTACTAATAAGACCTTTTATCCAACTAACAGTTGTAGTGAGAATTCAATCCAGAAGAAAAAAATTTAACTCTTAGGGACTTACAGGAAATTTTTTTTAAATTTACGTTGGTTTTTTTTTTCCTTTCAGAGAGTGTGATAAAATCACGAATAAAGACTATCAAGCATAAAAAAAACCCCAGGATCCCTTCTGTGGGTGAAGTAGAATGGATACATGATTTGTGACTGTTAAGAAAATCTTGTCACATAATTTTTAATAGGTGATGTTGAGGTAGTGAATCACTATAGTGTTTAGATTTCATTGGATATTTAAAAAGAGTGATAGGATAGTTTTGTTTTCAAATGCCAGTATATACAATACACCAGAAATTATGTGCTTTGCAGCTATTTAAAATATGATGAAAAGTTTTCGATTAAAAATGTGCACAGGGGTCCATAGTCTTCAAAATTCTTAGAGGGTTCATGAGCAGGAAGGCTTAAAGGCCACTACGCCAAGACACAGGGTCGTAAAGCATTGTGCTTTAGGAACTGGAGGGAACCTTTTCTACTTACTGCTTGTTTATTTTTACTTTTTAACTTTTTATTGTGATTTGAGTAATACTGTGAATGTTTGTAGAGAAAATTGGTTATCCAACAATTCATACACATTTTTTGACATTCATTGCCGTCTCCACAATGTAACAGCTCTTCTTACTTCCTTCCTGTGTTTACTGGTGCCATATTTTCCTTCTTTCCTGTTCCTTCCTGCCTTCTGAGCTTTATCCCTGGGCAAATGCTGCCCTTTTGATCTCATGTGGTTGGTTGATCTAAAGTTCATACCTCCCTGGTGTTATTATTCACCTTGTAGGTCTAGCTGTTATTTGGCTGAAAGTTGAGCCATGGAAGTGAGTTGAGTTCCAGGCCTGAAGGGTGCCTAAGGGCGATAGTCTCGGGGTTCCACCAGTCTCTTATCAGACCAGACCAGTATGCCTGGTCTTTTTTTTATTACTTGGAGTTTTGTTCCATGTTTTTGTCCCACTTTATCTACAACCTCCTATTGTGATCCTTTTCAGAATAGTAGCAGTGATAGCTGGGCACCATCTAGTTCTGCTCTCAGTGTCATGGAAGCTGGAGTTCACATGGTCCACTAGTTTATATAATCAGTTTACAGAAGAGGAAACTGAGGACCAAGAAGTGTTAAGTTGATTTTCCCAAAGTCACACAGTTGGGCCCAGAACCTGAGTGTCCTTGGTTGGCCATTCCTTTTGCTACTTAGTGTGGCCTCCACTGTACTCTGAAATCCATCACCAGTTTTGAGGAATGAGGAAGGAAGACAAAAATGATTTCGAAACAATTTACTAAAAAACAGTGACTGCTGGGTAGGTTGCTTTCCTCCCTGCCACTTCAGCCCAGAGGCCAGGCTGGGAGACCAACTAAGGTTTCAGTGAACTCCAGGCTGGGGGTTTACCTTCTAGGGTTTCCCTCTGCCCCCTGTCCCACTAAGAGTAAACTTGATCTTTAGAGCTCTTTGGGCCCAACATGGGCCACAGCCAACTCATACAGCACTCCTTCCTCAGGACACTTGAATTTCATTGTTGATCATAATAAACATAGATGAAAATGCTCCTATAGATGTGATGCATTGTGCATTGGACAATCACCACAGTTTACACAGCAGCTCTGGGGCCAGACTAGCCCTGGGAGCCCCTTCAGACCAGACAGGAACTAGGGCTGGACCCCCCTGGGATCACAGTGTCTTGAGTGGATACCCTTGCTGATAAGCTTCCCAAGGCTCGAGTTGGATGCAGTGCCAGGCACCAGAGCCCTGCTAAATCCTGGACCATGCTGATTATGAGGTAGATGCACATTTTTTTAACGACTTCCAAGATTTGGTTAGTTTTCTGTCGTGACCCCTGATTTCCCTGTGGCATAAATACACAGAAAGGGTGGGAGAAGGAGCCTTTGGCCAATTCAGCAGGGACAGGGAGACCCAAGCAGGCTGTGTGTAGACAGAGACAGCCTTGAATAGTAGGCCTGGCTCTGAAACATGAACATAGTTGGAGCTGGGGACATAAAACTAGAGGGTCATAGGGACACAGGGCTAACAGGAAAGGACACAGGCTACTGTCAGGACACACACTAACACATATCCTAGGCCAGGACCCTGCTGACGTGGCAGCCCTCTGCCCTGGCCCCTTACTGCCTCCCACCCCTCTCCCCCGCCTGCCAGCTGCCAACAGGGCTCTGTACTGTGTCTGCCACACCTGTCACTGCCTGTCCTTGTTCGGGGGGGGCCCCATCAGCCCCTCCTCAGCTGCCCAGCAGAGAAGCAGTTAGTGGGAAGGGGAGGGAACATGGAGAGGGGGCCGGTGGTGGGGTCAGGGGTGGGGGCCCGAATCCAGGCACTGTTAGGCTGCCTGTTGAAGGTGCTGCTTTGGTTGGCCTCTGCCTTGCTCTACTTTGGAAGTGAACAGGCCGCCCACCTCCTGGGCAGCCCCTGCTTACGGCGCCTCTACCATGCCTGGCTAGCAGCAGTGGTCATCTTCGGGCCCCTTCTCCAGTTCCACGTCAACCCTCGGACCATCTTCGCCAGCCACGGCAACTTCTTTAACATGTGAGTCCACCCAAGGCCATGGGAGCCGGTTCCCTGCACTCTGGGTTCCTAGCTCCCTCCTCTAGGCTTCTGTCCTCCTGCCAGTCCGGACACTAAAAATAGGCTAGGAGGTTGAAGAGAAGGTCAGGGGAGAGGGAGGGAAAGAGAGCTATAGGGGTACAGGGTAGCAGGAACAGGAGCAGGTTAGAGAGGAAATAGAGACTAGAAAGTCATGTGATCCTCAAAGGAGATGATGATGGGTAAGGGTTGTGGTAGGCGTGATGGAAAGAGAGCCATTGATGAAGGGACACTAGATGGTAGGATTGGACACAAAGCAGAGATGAGAACACAGACCACACTGGAGAGAGAGGACTGGGGCATCTGAGTGGCCTCCCCTCTTCTTTATCCACAGAAAATTTGTGAATTCAGCGTGGGGCTGGACATGCACCTTCCTCGGGGGTTTTGTGTTGCTGGTGGTGTTCCTGGCTACACGACGAGTGGCGGTGACAGCTCGGCACCTGAGCCGGCTGGTGGTGGGGGCAGCTGTGTGGCGGGGGGCTGGTAGGGCCTTCCTGCTCATCGAGGACCTGACAGGCTCCTGCTTTGAGCCTCTCCCCCAGGGACTGCTGCTCCATGAGTTACCTGACCGCCGCAGCTGCCTGGCTGCCGGCCACCAGTGGCGGGGCTACACTGTCTCTTCCCACACCTTCCTACTCACCTTCTGCTGCCTGCTCATGGCTGAGGAAGCAGCAGTGTTCGCCAAGTATCTGGCCCACGGGCTGCCCGCCGGTGCCCCCCTACGCCTCGTTTTCCTGCTCAATGTGCTGCTGCTGGGACTCTGGAACTTTTTGCTGCTCTGTACTGTCATCTACTTCCACCAGTACACTCACAAGGTGGTGGGCGCCGCAGTAGGCACCTTCGCCTGGTACCTCACGTATGGCAGCTGGTATCATCAACCCTGGTCCCCAGGGAGCCCAGGCCATGGGCTCTTCCCTCGCCCCCACTCCAGCCGCAAGCATAACTGAAGAAATAAAGGCATATCAGGCCTGGCTGTGGCTCATCTTATCATTTGACTGGGGCCTGGAGAGGGTGGGAATGTAAGAGGGTCTGGTTGGATTTCTCAGCTGTTACTCGCTGTCACTGACCATGAATGCCCTTCCTTAGGCTTGAATTCCACCCCTTCATTGTCCTTTCCTCCCCCTACTCCTTGCAAATTTCAAGTTTTCTGGGTCTGTGATGTCAAGTTATGACCCTGATAAGGCAGATAACAGTGTCCTTAGGTATGGGCGTCATTCTTGGCTGAGCAAGTGCTCCATCTCTCCCACAGGCAAGTTTTATTTTTCCTGCCTCCTTCTTAGGGTCTTGCCTATCTGGCAACCCCACTCAGGAGCCCTTCCCACCCTGTCTTCCCCATAGGGGATCTGTGTGTGCTCATTTATTTAATATAGTTCCATGCCATGTGAATAAGAAAGACAAGATTTCTGCTGTTTCGGAGCATATGAGCAACTGGGGGAGACAGATGATAAACACACACTTAATAATAGCAAACACTTGTGCTCAGTCTGTGTCCTTAGGCACTGTTCTGGAGTTGAGGAGGCAGTCTAAATTCTTTATAGAAACATATTTTGTCCTCACACCAGCAGCAGAAGTAGGTTTAGTTGTGTTCTCATTGTAGAATTGGGGAAATAGGTACAGAGGATAAGTAAGTAAGTAAGTTGTTCATAGCTAGAAAATAACAGAGCCAGGGTTACAAACCCAGACAATACAGGTCCATTGCCTGTACTCTAAACCAGGGGTCAACAAACTACATCTCACCTGTAGTCAGCTTTTGGATGGCCCACAAGCTAAGAATGGTTTTTTACATTTTGAAATGGATGAAAAAGCAATAGAAAGAATGTTTTATTACACAGGAAATTCTAATTTTACTGTACATGAAGTTTTATTGGAACCTAGTCTCATTTATTTACATGTTGTCTATGACTTCTTTCCCGCTACAGTGTCAGAACAGTAGCTACAGAAACTATACAGCCCACAAAGCCTAAAATATTCCCTATCTGCCCTTTTGCAGAAAAGACTGATAAACCACTACACTAGCCTGTCTCAAAAAAATAGACTGGCTAATATCAGAGAAGTGCCATGAAGGAACTGAAACAGGCTCTTTTGTAATCGACTTGGAGGCAGGTACTTGAGAAAGAATGGGATAGAGTTGTTTTTGCAGAGGTGGTATTTGAGCTGAGAACAAACACAACATGAACCAGGGGGCGGGTGTTTGGGTAAAAAGATGAGTAAGAGCAAAGACTGCTGTAGAAAAGACATGACACGTTTGAAAAACAAAATGTCCAGGTATTTGCAAGTGTAATGAATGAGGGCAGGAAAGCAGTAGAAAGTGAAGTTGAAGAGGAGGCAGGTGTCAGCCACTATCCAGGGCCTTATAGGCCAGGTAAGCCCTCTGGATTTCATTATAAGGTGAATAGGACGCTGCATGATCCCGCTTACGTGTGAAGAATGGGTTATAAAGGAATGGAGCTGCAACAGTACTCCCGGAAAGAATTGAAAAAGGCTTAGATCCAGATGGCGCCAGCGTCTTAGTGTCACTGCACGGTGAAGAGGTTGTCCCTGGAGCCAAGGGTCCACGCCGACCTGGATAAAGGGCAACCAGGTTTTGCTCCAGAGAAGATGTGGAAAGGCCCCACGTAAGGCTTATCTCTGCCCCAGGACAGGCAGGGGATGAAAAGAGCCGGCGGGGTGACAGGAGCCGGGAGTTGGGGGCGCCAGAAGCAGGGAGGCGGGAATGGAAAGGTGGATGGCGAGGAGGCCGGAGGTGGGGCGTCAAGAGGAGGGAGGCTAGGAGGCGAGCAGGGCGGATACGAAGATATAGTGAGGGAGGCGCGGGGAGGCGGGAACTGCTGAGGCTCGAAGGCGGGGAGTCGAAAGGAGGGAGTAGAAGGCGCAGGCCGAGTCAAGAGGCGGGACCCGGAGGGGTAGCCGGGGTGGGAGTAGGGGGCCGGCGGGGCCGGGGCGGGGCGACCGGGTCTGGGCGGCGGGGCCAGTCGGAGATGGTTAGCAGAAACTCTTCTCTCGGGCCGTAGGGGGAGCTGCGCCTCGCCAGCCTTCCTTTGCTCCCCCGCCCTTCTCCTCTCTGATCGGTCCCGCCTCCTCCAGTACCTCTGTTCCCCAATGCCCAGGAAGGCAGTGCGAGCTGCTTTCACTTTCTCTTCCTGGTTCCCACTCCACGCTCCACGCGCGGCGTAAGGTCCGGTCCCCAGCCATGGCCACACTCAAGGTCCAGCCTGAAGCCCAAGCCAAGGTGAGCGCAGCAGGTTCAAGGAAAGCCCTTTAGGGAGGCGTGGCTCGGAGAGGCTGAGGACATCCCTGACTGGCCCGAAGCCCTCGACCCGAATGAGGGTCAATCGACCGAAGCTACGCTCCCGGAGCACCCGAGTCCCCGGGAAGATCGGCTAGGTCTGCCTGTAGGGATAGGCAAGGCGGCTGTGGTTCAGCGGGGTGAGGTGAAGCGGAGAGCTGGTGTGGAGGGGAAGTCCTCTGGCCCTGGGCCAGGGCCACACACAGACGTGGTGCGGAATCTGCCTATGCCACCTTATGGTCTAACCAGGGCCCCAGGGCCCACTCCACAGGATACTCAGTTCTTACCCTAATCGCACAGTGCTCTCATATGCGCCCCCTTCAGGGCTACCCAGGAGACCCTAGGGATCTGTTTCCACATAAACCAACTTCTCACCAGGAAATGTTCTCACCTCTCTAATCCAGCCCCACGGAGATCCATTCCACTTTCCTCAGGTCCACAGAGATACACTCTTCCACCACCCCTACACACACACACCCCCAACACACCCTTCCCCAGGTCCAGGCCCTACACTTATTCTAAAGGAATTGCCTTCAAATGAATTGGCCTTAAAGCCAGCTTTATGAAGGGTTGTCTGTGCCCCACAGGTGGATGTGTTCCGTGAAGACCTGTCTACCAAGGTAATTCCAGCCACATTGCATCAGCACCCCCATTTGTCCCCAACTCCCACTGCTCAGCCCTCCTCTGCTGCGCAGCATTGGCCTGCTTCACTGGCTAGGAAGGACATTTGATTCTAACCTTTACCCTCCCCTACCCCAACCTCACACACAGACAGAGAACCTGCTTGGGAGCTATTTCCCCAAGAAGATTTCTGAATTGGATGCATTTTTAAAGGTACTAGGCTGGGCAAGGGGCTAGAGAATAGGGGCCAAGGGGAGAGTCTGGAGGGCCATGAGAATGAGGAGGTGAGAGGGACACTCTTGCCTCTAGCCCCCCTCCCACCCTGCACCAGGAGCCAGCCCTTAATGACGCCAACCTGAGCAATCTGAAGGCTCCATTGGACATCCCAGTGCCTGATCCAGTCAAGGAGAAAGAGAAGGAGGAGCGGAAGAAACAGCAGGAGGCAAGCTGGGGAGAGGGACTCCCTCATGGGGGAAATCAACCTTAGGTCTGACTCCCATGACCCCCTCTCTCACTGCAGAAGGAAGACAAAGATGAAAAGAAGAAAGGGGAAGATGAAGACAAAGGTACTTGAAACCATTATGGTAGGAAGGGACTCAAGTCCCACTCCCCAGGAGCTTCTCCCTAAGGATCTTTCTCCCCTCTCACAATCCTCCCACAGGCCCAATCATGTGCCTGACCCATTGCCTATTTTCCAGGTCCTCCCTGTGGCCCAGTAAATTGCAACGAGAAGATTGTGGACCTCTTGCAGCGCCTGAAACCTGAAATCAAAGATGTCATTGAGCAACTCAACCTGGTGAGCCCTTCACTTCCACCCCCAGGCTTTAGGTTGAACCCTTTGTCCTCCTTGGACCCTGCCCGTTAGGGCCCAACACCTGCCAGGTCTTAGCAGGCAAGGGCACAGCAAATGAAACCAGAAGTACAGGTCCTGGAGCTCAGGATGGACCTCCATATCTCCAGCCACCTTGTAGACACTGATTGCAGGCTGCTGTGACTTAGATGCCATTCCCTTGTCCCAGGTCACCACCTGGTTGCAGCTGCAGATACCTCGGATTGAAGATGGGAACAACTTCGGAGTGGCTGTGCAAGTAAGAGTGCTACCCCGTTCCTGCCTTCCCTTCCCCTCCAGCCCATACTTCCTTCTATTTTCCCATCTTGCTTTCTTTCCCCAGGAAAAGGTGTTTGAGTTGATGACCACCCTTCACACCAAGCTGGAAGGCTTCCACACTCAGATCTCCAAGTAAGTGACTACTCACCTATACCCACGTGCACATTCTGCCTTTGGTTGTGGACAGAGGCTGAGGCTCGTACCACCTTCTCCCACTCCACACACTTCCCATAGGTATTTCTCTGAGCGGGGCGATGCAGTGACCAAAGCAGCCAAGCAACCCCATGTGGTAGGTGACCCAGTTTGGGGTGCATGAGGGGAATGGACACACTTGAACAAAGTCAGACTGACCCTCAGATCTCCCTCAGGGTGATTATCGGCAGCTGGTGCATGAGCTGGATGAGGCAGAGTACCGGGACATTCGACTGATGGTCATGGAGATCCGTAATGCTTATGTGAGGAGGCGAGGGCAGGGCAGGGGTGGGCAGAGGCAGCTTGCCCAGGTCACCCACTCCCTGACCTTGAAGGCTAGGGGTGAAGGATGACAAAGGGTAGGCCTCTCCACAAGGCTGGAAATGGGGCCACTGGCATCTGCAGCTGACCCCTACTTCTTCCTGGCCCTGTAGGCTGTGCTATATGATATCATCCTGAAGAACTTCGAAAAGCTTAAGAAGCCCAGGGGAGAAACGAAGGGAATGATCTATTGAGGGCCTCCACTCTCATTTTGTGATGGGTAGAGCAGACCCTCCTACCTTTCATCAGGGATTCCAGACCTTCCCCCCAAATTTCTCTCCTGTTGAGGTTTCTCTCTCACCTTGCCATCCACGCACAATAAATATAGTCATACCATTGCCCGTCAGCCCCAAGTCTCTTTATTGGATCCTGGCCCCACTGGCCCTGTTTCAGGCATTTCCATTAGTGGGACCAATCCACTGGATGATTTGGGTATTCAGCTGCTGGTTGGTCCAGTCCTGCTGGATGTCGTCAAGGTGAGAGTCAAAGTCCACAAGGTGCTGGTGGGCCCGGTCCTCCAACAGTGCTCCTACCATCTGCCGAGACTCTTCCCAGTCCCTCCACATCACTCTGAAATAATAACCCCCATGGAAATCAAACAGAGGCCAGTGGGGTCAGACACAGAACTTGGCAGAGGTTAGATCTAGGGAAGGACCCTTGGGGCAGAATAGAGGGCGCCCAGCAGCCTTGGACTTCCAAGGAAGGAGTGGGGCACTCACAGGTTCTTGTCCTTGGGGGCCCAGCGGGGACCATGGTTCTCCAAGACAATGACTGGAGGCACACGAGGATGAGGCACCAGTTTCTGATTATCCAGCTGGGTGGACAAGGGTGAGCAGGTGAGAGTTTCAAGGATCCCATTCCCTATTATCTCTCCAGTTCCTCCCACCCTGAATCCCAAGGCTCACCATGATGAGCACTGCATCAGGGAAGAATTCTGCAATTCGCCCAGCAATTTTCAAGGCCAGGGGGCCAGGGCTGTGTAAAGGAAAGATCAGAGGAGTAAGGAGCTGAGTGGGCAGACCCCATCCATCTGAGCTGGGCCTCCCTGGTCTCGAATAGACTGGGTGCAGCTGTGGCCTTTCCCCTGGGACTGGGGAGAGGGGCAGGAGTCAGTCCTGCTTGATGTACAACTGCTTGATGCTTGAATCCTGTGGGAAACAGACACTGTTGGCTGTTGGTGAGAGTGGAAATCAAAACCACATACTATACATGTTCTGACCTACAGGACAGTCTATAACAGCAAAACAAATGGAAACCACATCAATGTTTAACATAAAACATTTAATAGACACCCATATTCAAACAACATAGCTGTTAGGGTAAGATAATTCTTGGTGTAGAAATGGAAATATGTCAGCTATTTATTAAAGGGGGAGGGACAAATTACAAAATTGTACAGTGGTCCCTCAGTATCTGCCAAGGATTGGTTCTAAGACCCTGCCCATACCAAAATCTGCAGATGCTCAAGTCCCTGTATAAAATGGCCTAGTATTTGTAAATAGCATATTCATATCCTCCCATATACTTTAAATCGCCTCTAGATTACTTATAACACCTTATACAAATGATATGTAAATACCACTTTATACTCTATCTTCGCCTTTGAGGGATTGCGTTGACCACTCAATTGTTTTCCCACTCCCGATATTTTCTATCTAAGGTTGGTTGAATCTGCAGATACAGATCATGGATACGGTGGGCCAACTCTGTGTAATTTGATCCATTTGTATGATTAATATATGTAATTATCTATTTATATGAATGCCTTTTTATTAAATTGCTGGTTGGGTTTTCTCTCTTTTTTTCAGTAGTTGGGGGGCACTCAGTTAAAAGAAAGTGTCACTCGGTTCTTATTGATACACAGTTGTCCTCCCCACCCCCCAGCTCCTCCAGGGCAGGGCTATCTTACTTATCTTCATATTTCCTCTCTCCACTGGATATATAGACTACCCTGTCATACAGACCTGCTCCTAAGTGTTTGATGAAGGAAAGGTAGAATGACCTTGGTTCTACTGACCTCCACCCCATACGCCATTGATTGCCTTCTGCTTTGGGCTACCCCACTCACCTCTGGTCATCCAGAGCTGCATTGGCATGGTAGTACCCAGCCACCACCAGACCGCCCTGGGTGCCCCACACATCCACCTGCCATGGGAAAGGAGCCATAAGTAACTAAATCGTGGCGCCGGCTCTGTGGGTGCTTAGTATCTGCAAAGGGCCAGGGATGGGATTGAGCTAAAGGTTTTAGGGGCATTTGCGGTAGTCAGTGGGCTTCTAGCGGCGGCACCTGGTTGAGAGCGACTTCCAGCATGACTGACAGGGCCAAGTGGCTGTGGAATAGGGGCACACAGTCGGTGAGGCACAGGCATTCCCGGGAGTGCGGTGCCGGCGCCAGCAACAACCCGTTGACAGCAGCGTGCGGATATCGGGCGGCGTGCAGGCACATCTTCACGTAGGCCCGGGCTGAGATTTCCACCTCCCCCATGGTGAACAGAGCCTGTCCGGGTACGAAGCAATCCAGATTAGCCCCAGCTCGCATCCGCGAAGCTCCCTCAGGCACCTCAGCACCTCCTTGACTATCGACACCCTCACCTACGTTCCCCCTCACTTAGGTTCGTCAGTGAAGCTGACTCGGCTTGAAGGCAACCCGCCCCCCGCCCGGCCTGGAAGGAAGTCCAGATTGCAAGCCGCAGCACTCAGCTCCGCCTTTCCCCGCCCCCAGCGGGCCGGCGGAGATCTGAGCCTTTGGAGGAGACCTAGTCGCTGCACTCCCGGCCAACAGCTTCCAGAGTCCCGCCCATGTGGTGCTCTTTGATAGGCCTAAAGGTTCTCATTTTATCCAGTCAACGCCCTTTGTCTCCATCAAATTTGGAAGAGTTCACAACTGTAAACTGTAAACTGTCTCCATGCGTATTGACTAAGCGATCCGAACATATCTATTTTGGAAGATGTACAGTCTGAATGCTCCTTAGAAGCGAGGATGGCAGAATTTTCTCACGTACTTTGGACATGTTACCAGGAGGGGTCGTTCCCTGGAGAAGGTCATGATGCTTGGTAAAGTAAAAGGTCAGTGAAGAAGAGGAAGACCCTCGACAGTGGCTACAACAAAGGGCTCAGACATGGTGAGGTGGTGTAGGAGCGGGCAGTGTTTCGTTCTGTTGTACGTGAATGTACATGAGGTCGCTATGAATCTGAACGGACTGCACGGCACCTAACAATAACAACTCAACTTCTGTTCATGATTACAAAATGGTTTTGTCTGTTACCTGTGCTGCCCGCTCCCTGCCCCCAAGGCCCAGAGACTACCCCGTGGAACTCAAGGTGTCCGGAAGTAGTGGCTCTTCAAAGGTGCAGACATAGCGGACTGCCTTGCTCCTGTTATGGAATGCGCTGGTTTGTACTCCAGACTGACTATGTCAGGTACTTATGAGCCGTGTTACCTTCACTACTACAGGTTATCTGACCCTTGGTTGCCTTAATGTCCTGTTGCCCTTGGTGCTTCAAGGATTAAATGAGATATTGTACTGGGATGGGTTTTCAGACTGTCAAGTTCAATGCAACATTCTTACCGCATATTTTAAAACATATTTTAAAACAGGATAAGGCCCTGAATTACTGTGGAGTTTATAGCAAAGACCACAGTACAAGTATCCTTGTCTCTACCATCTTAACAGGACTGAATACCGAGTGGCAGAGATAAATACAGCGATTGGCTAATGAGGTGAAAAAGAGGACCAAAAGAAAAATCCTACAGACCCATCCTTCCCATAATGCCTTGTGGTGCAATTTCGTGTAATACAATGCCTTAGAACTTCTTTTTTTTCCATCCATAGCTCTGGAAGGGGTCCAACCACTCAACCATAATTCTCCCAGTGAAATCTTGATCCTCCTTCCAAGTTTGCTCAATGTTCTTTGGAAAGTACAATACCTTCCCTCGTTCTCTGACCTCATCCACAGAGCCTTCCTTGTCAGTTCAAACTCTGATTATTCCTATAGGAGTTTTGCCCAAATGGCACCTCTTCCATGAAGAAACCCCTGGATGGACATAATCTTGTAATACAACTATTGGTCTCTCCCTGTCTAGAGCAAACAAGAGTGCAGAAAATCAAACACACAAGAAAATAATGAATCAAAGGACTAATGGATCACATGAGCCCCAGTTTCTACAACCCTGAGACCAGAACTAGATGGTGCCCAGCTACCACAGCTGACTGCTCTGAAAGGGATTATACAATAGGAGGTCCTCAATAGAGCGGGTGAAATATGTGGACCAAAACTCAAAATCATGAAAAAAAAAAAAAAAAAATGACCAGGCTCACTAGTGTGAGGAAGACTGGTACAACTTCCTGCCTTAAACATCCTTCAAGCCTGGAACTGAACTCACCCTTGTGACTCAACTTTCGGCCAAAAGATAGGCCTGTAGGGTGCACAATACCTGAAAGGTATGCACTCCTTAGAACACTCAACCACACAAGAGCAAAAGGGCAGCATTTGCTGAGGGCAAAGCTAAGAAGGCAGGAAGGGATAGGAGAGGACAACCAAGGGAAATGGTAAACACAGGAAGTGGGAATAGTGCTGTTATACTGTGGGGATTGCATGGAATGCCACAAAACAAAATGTGTATGCATCCTTGAATAGAAAGCCAATTTGCTTTGTAAACTTTCACCCGAATCACAATTAAAAAATAATAATCTTGTGAAATTCCATAAACCAGATTATCTGCACAGCTGTCATGGCAGGTAATACATTCTCCCTGTTCTTTAGGATGGACACCGAATTCATGCTTGTCTTCCTGGCACCCTTTTCTCTCTATCACATATACACATAGTGTATACACATTCAGCAAGCACTTTTTGAATAAATGACACACACCAGATGTAAACCACAGAGTACAGGTCATTTATTTCCTTCACTCCAGCCTTGGGCTCAGTACATAGATGGCTTTTCTTCACCCTTTGGATTGACGATTTTCTCCAGGTTGCTGCTGATGATATGATAAAGCTCAGCCTGAGGAGAAAGCCAGAGGGGCAGAAATTAGGTTAGGTTCTTCTCCCTCCCCACTGTCCACCTCACCTGTCTCCCTAACGGCCTTACTCCACACTTACATAGAAGGTCCTGAGGTCCAGCACCATGGCTCTGAGCTCCCTATAGGCTGCCTCATCTCGCTCGTGCACCAGGGCCCGGTAATCCATCTGGGATATGAGAGGCAAAGTTGAGTCAGCCCACAGGAGATTGGGACATTTCTGGTTTCCTCATATAGGGTATAGGTAACTTGAGGCTGAATCCCTTCTCAGCACCAAGAACCAGGATCCCATCAGATGAAGCAGAGAAAAGGGTCAAGGCTTTTGAAGCCCAAATCAGCTTTTCTAGAGAATGCTTTTGGCTTGATGTTCTCAGCATTGGGAAGGTCATAAACAAGACAAGGAGAACCACTCCCTCCTTTCCTTCTCACCTCCAACCAGCCTTAGCTAAAAGGCTGGTGGACCATCTACTCACCACATGGGTCTCCTTGGAGGCCTTGGCTACTGCATCGCCACGTTCTGAGAAGTACCTGCCAAAGCAAGGGAAGCAACTCTCTCAAACCCTCCCCAAAGTCCTCCACTGTCCTGATGGTACTGGCCAATCTTAAGACTCCAAAAAATGTTCCTACAGCCTTCAGCTGCCCTTACTTGGAAATGGTTGTCTGGAAGGCTTCCACTTTGGTCTTGACTGCATTCACCCGCTCCAGCACTTTTTCCTGTGGTGACAAAAGATGTGAAAGGCAAAGAAAACACCTCATTTTCTCTCTCCTTCACTACCCTTCTCCTTCCTCCCCCTAGTTCATGTCTACATCTTATCCCTCACTCTCGAAGTCTCTTCCCACTCTCAGTGCCCTCATTCACCCTTACCTTACCTGGATTGCCACCCCAAAATCATTTCCATCCTCAATCTTGGGGATCAGATGCTGGATCCATGTGATCACCTATGTTAAGAGGTATCATGTAGGAATCATTCAACAAACCTCACCGCTATATTTAATTGAGTACTTATTATGTGCCAGGCTCTATGCTATGTATCTCATGCGATCCTCACAAAAACCTTTCAAGACATATACATTTACTATACCCACTTAATAAATGAGAAAACTGAGTCATGGAGAGTCTAAGTGATTTATTCAAGGTAACCAGATAGGTAAGTGAAAACAGTCAGGATTTGAACCCAGGCAGTCTCCTTCTAGGGCCAAAGGGCTTAAACAACTCACTGTATCTACCACCTCCACTGTGCACCTGGTAGAGCAATAGGTTCTGAGATTAGAGGTGGATACAGCATAGTCTCTGACTTCAGATTACCATTATATCAGAGGTCTAGCAGAAGGATGGAGAGAACAAAGGGTATCCAAATCCAAGGCACAGAAGGATGTCTCCTGTTTTGGGGCTAGGTTGCTGAATGAAGAAGGACTTGTGTCACTGAAGGGGGCCAAGGCCTGGCCTTGCTTATCTCTTCTTTCTTCTGCCTCTAGCTCCCATACTTACCAGAATACATTTCTCTTTGAGAGTCCAGACTTCTGGCTTAACTAGGGCAAGCAGGGCGAGCACTTTCTCATTTCCAGGAAGAAAGCCGCACTTAGGGACTATGAGAAAGAGATTCAGGCCCTTTGTCATCAAGCAGTCAGTACGCCATTTCTCTTTCCCCATCTATCCCTTCCTCCCTTACCTTCTTTCTTCTCCTCCTTATCTGTTTCCATCTAAGGAAAAATGGAGGGACATAGCTTTAGAAACATCATGGAAGTTGGAAAGCCATCACCTTTTTGGGTTTATAGTCCAGCCCTGCACCCTGAGTGCCTTACCTCATCATCCTTGGGTGGGGGGTCTGGGATAGGGATATCCAGTGGGGCCCGAAGAGAAGTTAGATCAGCCACATTGAAGGAGTCCTCCTGCACAGAGCTCACTGTCAGGGGCTGTCCATTGTCTTCCTTCTGTCCACTCATCTCACCCACCCTCTCTCTGCCTCCCAACCAAGGCTCAGGCTTCAAACCATTCTAGTGCTCCCACCCACCATTCACAACTCTTCTCTGGATGCTGAGTCTAGAGTCTAGTCATTAACTGGAGAAAGTGGATGGAGGGAAGAGAGGGCATGGGATAAGGCAGGAAGGGCCCACACTACTCACTTTTAAGAGCTGATCCAAATATATGATCTTCTGTGGCAAGAATCCACAGAGGAATTCCTCAGCCTGCAGGTTACATGGCAAGGGTGGGAAATCACAGAAGATGCTGAATGAGCTTGAGATGTGGGGCTGGAAAGGCCTTTGGAAATCACTGAGTTCAAGAGTTACAAATGAGGAAATGAAGCTCTTAAAAGCTAGGGAACTGACTCAAGCTGGTAAGTGGCAGAATCAAGGTGGTGGTTGTTGTTATGTGCCATCGAGTCTGACCCGACTCATAACTACCCCTCCTTGGGTTTCTGAGGCAGTATCACTACGGAAGTAGATTGCCCAACCTTCCTTCCGAGGAGTGGCTGGTAGGTTTGAACCACCAGCCTTCTGGTCAGCAGTCAAGTGTCTTAGGCACTACGCTACCAGAGTTCCCAGAATCAAGGTTAGGACTATAGTATTCCTGCTTTAGGGCCATGACTTTTCCCTCCACACCAAAAGAGGGGAGGAAAGGTGGCAGGAGAATAGTCTTAAGAGGGTGAGATTAAAGGCAGATATCAATAACTAGGCACTCTCTCTGGGTGAAGACTTCACAAGGGATGTAGGGCCCAGCTGTAAGGTGGGTTTGGGAGTCACTCCGAGAGATTGTGACCCTTATGTATTGGCCTAAGCTTCTGGGTCAAATCGCTTGAGTCCAAAGAGACCTACCTCCTGGAAGAGATTTTGCCTGAAGACATCCACCTGCACAGAAAGCAGTACCCTGATGTTGGTTAAGGGTCTCAGTTGTCAAGAGTAAGATCCCACCCCCCAGTGGGGTGCCCTCCGACTGTGACTCAGGTTTTTCCCACAAGCAGCCAGTTTTCCCTGGGAGTCCCTGGCTCAGCGCAGACTGGCCAAAGGGCAGGAATCTGGAAATCCCCAGACCGAAATGAAAACACGAAAGTGAGGGGCTGGGGGCGTTCTCTGGCATGGTCTTGATATCCTGGAGCACTCAGCATTGCTTCCATCTAGGCGGGCTCCTCAGCCTCTTCCCAGCCTTCCCGATCCCCCATTACCTGTTTGCGGGCTTCTTCGCTCAGGCGCACCCCACCAGGCTTGGCCATGCTCTTTCAGTTGCAAGCTCTTCGGTCACCCGGTTCCCCGCCCGGGCTTTCGCTTTCACTCCCCAGGTACAGCCCGCCCCCCGCAGCCACGCCCCCTTCGTTCTTTACACCCCACCCCACCCCTGCCCCCTGGCAAGCCGCAAAAAGGGGGAGCCCCTCAGCCATTCCTGGCCAGAAACGGTTAGGAGAGGCGGTGCTGGCTCAGTCATCAGCCTAGGGGCTGTCCGAGGGATGGGCTAGGGTGAGTGGGACAGCGGAGACGGGAACCGGGGCTGTCCCTCGGAGAGGGGCGGGGCTTGCAGCGAAGTGCACGGACAGTCCAGAAGTACAGAATTGGGATCGGAAGAGTGGGAAAGGACCTGTCTAGTGGTGGGGATCTCCGAGAAAAGATCGACCGGGAAGGGGAGGGGACAGAGAGGGACCACAACGGGTGGGAAGGGTAGTTGAAGGGAAAGTCTGGGGCAAGGAAGAGCTATAGAGGTAGGGGAGAGAGCAGGAGAGGGGCTTCCCCCAGAAAAACGCCCAGCCTTCAGTACAGACGGGAGGCGGGGGATGACTCGCTTGAGCCCGGCTAGGGCCGGCTGGAGTAAGGTCCCCGGCGGGGCAGGACTTCCCCGGTGGGGACCGGAGCATGGCTGACTGGTCCAAAGAGAGAGAGAAAAAAGAAATTGAGGGAAGAGGGCTAACCCCACAGCACGGGCTATCCAGGAAGAGGCAGAATCAGTCGGAAAGAACGCTGAAAAAAACTCTTGAAAGGGGCTTAAGAAAAAAAAAAAAAAAAAACTGGGACGTACTGGGGGAGGAGCAAGGGGCCAATTGCTCTTCTCTTTGGTTGAAACCCTGCCTCTTATGGTGGCCACGCCCCTTGATTTCCAGACAGCTTCCCCCCTTTACCTTAAGGCCCTCCCCTTCCCCTGAAACCTACTCACAGTCCCACCCTCTTTCCTAGTACTTCCTGTTCCTTGCTAACCCTGGCTTGGGGGCCCGGGGCCGAAGAGTGACCGTACCCTGACTGACCTAGAGCGGCTGTGCGGATCGGAACGGGTCGCAAAGCGAGACACCAGGCGGGAGGCGCGGCGGAAGGCCGGCGCGCAGCCTGCTTGGGATCCCGGCGGGCGGCGGGGCTGGGGCTGAATCCTATCTCAGGATGCCGGGGGTGGAGGAGGAGCGGGCCTTCCTGCAGGCGCGCGAGGAACTGGCAAGCGCTCTGAGAAGCGATTCCGGGCAGGCGTTTTCCCTGGAGCAGCTCCGGCCGCTCCTGACCACCTCTCTGCCGCCAGCTGCCCGCTATCTGCAGCTGGACGCTGCACGTCTGGTCCGCTGCAATGCTCATGGGGAGGTGAGGCACAACCGGGTTCGAGAGGAGGACAAAGCCAGGGCCAGGGGCCAGGGCCAGGCTCACTTGTCTCTGCTCTCTGACTGTTTCCAGCCCTGCAACTACCTCAGCAGCCTGTCCACAGCCCTGAACATCCTGGAGAAATATGGCCGCAACCTCCTGAGCCCTCAGCGGCCCCGGTACTGGCGTGGGGTCAAGTTTAATAACCCTGTCTTTCGCAGTACGGTGGATGCTGTTCAGGTGAAACCCTTGGGCTTTGTAAGAGATGGGGGCTGGGCCAGGCTGAGACTGCTGAATGGGGTGGGGTGCAGCCTTATTGGGAGAGGGAGCCTGCTGGGTAGTGACTGGTTGTGAATGTGTGACAGGGGGGCCGGGATGTGTTGCGATTGTATGGCTACACAGAGGAGCAGCCAGATGGGCTGAGCTTTCCTGAATGTCAGGAGGAGCCAGATGAACACCAGGTTGCTACAGTCACACTGGATGTACTGCTGCTTCGTACAGAGCTCAGCCTGCTGCTGCAGGTGAGGTGTTCTCCAGTTCTGAAGACTCAAGCACTAGGGCTGGGAGCCAGCCTAACTGTGAGGGCAGTCTGGGGTCATGAGACTGCTGAGTAATGAGCTTATTCCCCATAGCAACCTGAGGGCTCCCCATACTGTTCTTCCCCCTGTAAATGTTAGGGGCCTGGGTACGGAGGGAGGGTTTTGTTCATGGGTTCTGGGTGGGATGCCCTGTTTTATCTTGTTTGCAGAATACTCACCCACGACAGCAGGCACTGGAGCAGCTGCTGAAAGACAAAAATGAAGATGATGTAAGGAAGGGAGGAGGAGGGCAGGGGTTGTGGGATTCTGTCCCCAAACCCTTGCCCATTCTCTGCCACTTCTTCCTTAGATGCTGCAGCTTTCAGAGTTCACCCCCCTACTGAGAGAGATTGCTCCTGGCCCCCTCACCACACCCTTAGCCCCAGGTATTGGTCTTGTAGACTTGTAGGGAGGAAGGGATAGGAGACTCCAGATTTCCAGTAATGGAAATGTGGGGCCCTCCTATATCTCTCTTGGTCACCTTTCTTTGATTCTTTAAAGAAATAAAAATTGTTTCTTTCAGTCCAGATTTGTCGGAAAGTAGTCTTGTGACTTGTCTCCCCTCTTGCAGCAGATGCAGTAACCTGGTCTTTTTCACAAATATGTTTTCTTCTTTTTCTCCTGTTCCCTAGGCTGCACTCCTGGTCCCTGCTTCCTCTGTGGTTCTGCCCCAGGCACACTGCACTGCCCAGCCTGTAAACAGACCTTGTGCTCAGCCTGTGACCGTCTCTTCCATGGGCACCCATCCCGTGCCCATCACCTCCGCCAGACCCTGCCTGTGACCCCCCAGGCCACCAACCTAATCCCCAGGTAAGAGGCCTTTTCTTCTATGTGGGAATGAAATGGAGAGAACTTAAGGTAACCCAACTACCATGTACCAGCTTCTGTGTTAAAGACTGTATAATAAAGGAGCAGCCAGTCACTGTTGTTGTGATTGTGTGGTTACACAGAGGAGCAGGTGGTTATAGATACATGCATCAGGCATGTGGCAGTCACAATAAGATAGATTATTATGATGTGTCAATAGGTAGTAGGAGGATGCAACCTAGTCTGAAGGGTCCATTCAATCAGTCATCAGTTTTTTAAGTAACTAGAATATGTCAAGCATGCTTAGGGATATCTACCTATCCACCAGGAAGAAGTGAGCTTTAGGCTGTCACTTAATCATTGATTAGACTGTGGATGTGCAAGTGTCCCAGGCAGAGAGAATAACATGTACAAACCCAGGCCTGTGTGTCGTTTCATAGGGTATGGGGGATGCCCAGGAGTGAGGAACCCAGGTGGCACCTCAGCAGGCCATATTTGCTTTTCTATTACAGCTTATCCACCCTAGCCCCACCAAGGCCCCAGTTGACCTCTGTGCTGGCCCTGGGAAATGGTGCTCTTCCTTCCCCTGATCCTGCAAGTGCCTGTCTGCCCTGGCAATGTGCTGCCTGTACCATGCAAAATAAGCCTTGGACAGTACTCTGTGTGGCCTGTGAGCGGCCCCGAGGCTGTAAGGGGTTGGGGCTGGGGGTTGAGGGTTCCCAAGGAGCTGAGGGCCTAGAACCTGAGCTTGCACGGGGCCGGTGGACCTGCCAGAGCTGCACCTTTGAGAATGAAGCAGCAGCTGTGCTGTGTGCCATATGTGAGCGACCTCGGCTGGCCCAGCCTCCCAGCTTGGTGGTAGATTCCCATGATGCTGGCATTTGCCTGCAGCCCCTTCAGGTAACTTGTTCTGGCCTTCCTACCTCTTTATTTGTACTCATTACTTCAGACCATTCTTTACCTCCCCACCCCATTTTCCTTCAGCTCCCTGCATCCCAGCTCCTTATATTTCCATCTTGAGCCTCAGCCAGCCAGTTAATGGGATGATTCTCTCTTGTCTTCCCAGCAGGGAAAAACTGTGTTCTCCTCTCCCCAGACTCAAGTTTGGTCCTGTATCCACTGTACCTTCTGCAACTCGGGCCCCGGCTGGGTGTGTGCTGTGTGCAACCGCACCAGCGGTCCCATGCCAGCCCAGCTTACCCCTCAGCCCCATGCCAGCTCTTTGGAAGAGAGACCCTCTGAACCTGGGCCCCCACGATGCCTCAGCACCCCCCTGCCCAGCTCCTGTGGGGATCCTGAGAAGCAGCGCCAAGACAAGATGCGAGAGGAAGGTCTCCAGCTAGTGAGGAAGATCCGGGTGAGGATTGGGCCTGGGATGAGGCTGGGCTGTGCTGGTGGGGAAAGGAAGAGGCTACAGTTCATAATGAGTTTTTATGAAACTTGTCGTTGCTGCTTCTTAATGAATATTTCCCTTACGTCAGGTTCTGTACTGTGCACGGGTCGCATGGTCCATGCATCTTATCTCAGCTGCTATTGGCATATGATTTGGGCCCAGGTGAAGGTTGCCCCTCCTGATGGGGCCTCTGTCTGGGTGGGGCTGTGCTTCAGGAAGGGGAAGCTGCAGGCGCCCGTCCAGAAGAGATCTTCTCCGCTCTGCAGTACTCAGGCACTGAGGTGCCCCTGCAGTGGTTGCGTTCAGAACTGCCCTACGTTCTGGAGATGGTGGCCGAATTGGCTGGACAGCGGGACCCAGGGCTGGGGGCCTTTTCCTGTCAGGAGGCCCGGAAAGCCTGGCTGGATCGTCATGGCAACCTTGATGAAGCTGTGGAAGAGTGTGTGAGGGCCCGGCGGAGGAAGGTACCAGCTATGCTAGAAGTGGGACAGGGTTGAAGGTCAAGGGTCTTGGCATCTCTGACATTCTCCTTTGCTTGCTTTTCCCTCTTTGTATTCTCTCCCAATTTGCAGGTGCAAGAGCTTCAGTCCTTGGGCTTTGGGCCTGAGGAAGGGTCTCTACAGGCACTGTTTCAGCATGGGGGTGATGTGGCACGGGCCCTGACTGAGCTCCAGCGCCAGCGCCTTGAGCCCTTCCACCAGCGCCTCTGGGACAGTGGCCCTGAGCCCACCCCATCTTGGGATGGGCCAGATAAGCAGGTGCTGGGAGGAGGGAAGGAGCCCAAGATGCCCCTAAAGGGGAAGGGGGAAGGCCAAGAGTAAGTACCTGTGGGGTTTGACTGCCACTTCTCTTCTTTTCTACCTGCAATCACATTGCAGAAACTGGTTAGACGGTTGTTGGCAGTCTATGCACTCCCCAGCTGGGGCCGGGCGGAGCTGGCACTGTCGCTGCTGCAGGAGACACCAAGGAACTATGACTTGGGGGACGTGGTGGAAGCTGTGAGGCACAGCCATGACCGGGCCTTCCTGCGCCGCTTGCTGGCCCAGGAGTGTGCCGTATGCAGCTGGACCCTGCCCCGCAACCGGGTAAGCAACCCCCTCCGCTGTACAGGTAAGTCTTAGACTTACTCCATTCTCCTTCAACCCTCACTCCACACCAGCCCCTGCTTCTGGTCCTGTCTTCTGCTCTGTAGTTGGCCCATGTACCACTGAAGCCTTCTGGAAAGTAGGTATAGGAATAGACCCCTTCCTTTTATAAATGTTCTATAGTGGAGATTTTCAAACAGAAAATTATGTAATGGAATCCCTCATACCCCCTGACTCCAAAGGTATTTATTCATCACCAAGCTTTAGCAGTTATCACTGGATAGCACATTTTGTGTGTGTGTGTGTCTGTGTGTCTCTGTGTATGATTTGGGTGAAAGTTTACAGAGCAAATTCACTTTCCATACAGTAGCTCGGGAGCTCTGGTAGCATAGTGGCTAAGACACTTGCCTGCTAACCAGAGGGCTGGCGGTTCAAACCCACCAGCCACTCCTCGGAAGGAAGGTTGGGCAATCCTACTTCCGTAGTGATACTGCCTCGGAAACCCAAGGAGGGGTCGCTATGAGTCGGGGCCGACTCGACGGCACATAACAACAACAACAACAACAACATACAGTAGCTCACATACACTTTGTCTCACGACATTGACTGCAATTTCCCACAATGCAACAGCTCCCCTCCCACTTCCTCCTCATAGTTATCTTTTCTTTGTGTCCTTCCCTCCCGTGCACTGCTGCCTCCGCTAGGCTGCTCCCTGTGCATACACTGCTTTTCTGTTCTCCCATGATTGATCTCTCCAAAGAGTGTATCTACCTAATGTAAATGTTCAGCTCCTATGCCTGTCTTTTGTTTGGCTGGAAGCCACAGGAGGGGGTTCAATTCCAGACCTGAAGGGCAGTGAGGGCCCATAGTCTCAGTGGTTCCATCAGGCTCTATCAGACCAGCAAACCTGGTCCCTTTTTTTATTTCAGTTATTTTGAGTTTTGTTCCACATTGTTCTCCCACTCTATCCAGGATCTCCTACTGAGATCTCCCTCCAAGTGGCTGACAGTGGTAGCCAGGCACCATCTAGTTCTTCCGGTCTCAGAGTCATATAGGCTGAGGATCGCATGGTGTACCAGTTGTTTGGACTAATTGTTTCCATGCATCTTTGGTTTTCTTCATTTTTCTTTGCTCTGGATGAGGAGAGATCCACCGTTGCATCTAGATGGCCACTTGCAAGCTTTTAAGATCCCAGTCGCTACTCACCAAAGTACGATATGGAACAATGTTTTTGTGTAGTATGTTATGCCAATTGAGCTTGATGTTCCCTGAGACTCTGGTCGTGAGCCCACAGGTCCAACTACTTGCTCCCTCTGGGTAGCTGGCTGTGGCCAAGAAGTGACTATAGCCTTGTCCCTTGTCAGCTCTACTATATACCTGGGAATTCTTATAGAACATACAAATACACTTGTAGAAACATTGTCTGCCATTCCTGTACGTGGTCTTGGGCACACTCCTCCCTGCACAGACATAACTAAAGTTCAACCTGTCCACCCATCTATCCACCCGTATATCAGTGTTTGCCGAATAGCCAATTTTTATTTCGTCTACATACACACCCAAAGAACTGTTCTGAAGAAAATCCCAGGCATCATATTATTTATTTATATATATTTCAGTATGTGTCTCTAAAAGAAAAACTGTTTGAAAACAGCCACAATACTGTTGTACTTAATGTTCTACTTAGTATGTAGTTAATCATACTAAGAAATGATTAACAGTAATCTTTAAATATCATTAACTATTCATTTGATGTGGCCAGATGCAGTCCTATTTCGTTAGGCTCTGAATTTTTTTTTTTTTTAACTTTTTATTTTGAAATTAATTATAGCTTCACAAGAAGTTCCAAAAATAGTGCAGAATCCCATTTACTCTTTACCCAGCTTCCCTCAGTAGTGACATCTTATATAATTACAGTGCAACATCAAGACCAAGACATTGATGTTGGTACAATGTTACCTAGACTATAGTCCTTGTTCAATTTACATGCATTTACTCACCATTGTTTATGTGCATTTATTTAATGTGTGTTTTCTATGCAATTTTATCCCATGTATAGATTCATGTAACCATCACCACAGTCAAGATGCAGAATAGTTCTGTCGCCACAGGAACTTCCTCCTGCTATCCCTTATGTCGCCACAGGAACTTCCTCCTGCTATCCCTTTATGTTTGTTATCTGTCCCTATCCCTGTTCCCTGGCAACCACTCACCTGTTCTCCATCTCTATAGTTTTATCATTTCAAGGATATTATTTGTTAAGTTTATTTCTAGTTGAATGTGAATGCCTTTACAGATGGGACATACGTTCTTCTCTACCTGAAGTCTCTGCGTTATCTGTGTTCCTCCACCTGACTGTCTTCATACATTTAGGTTGTCTGCCTGGCAGTTGTTGGCATTTGAGGTTGCTGGCTCTGCTCGGTTGTTAGATGGAGCCTGGTGTCTCGGAGGACAACCGGCTGCTGCTCCTTCCCCAGCCTGGCAGCTGTGGCTTCTGACCCCCTCCTCTCCTGCCTCTCCCCTCTAGATGCAGGCCCTGACTTCCTGTGAGTGTACCATCTGTCCTGACTGCTTCCGCCAGCACTTCACCATCGCTGTGAAGGAGAAGCACATCACGGACATGGTGTGCCCTGCCTGTGGCCGCCCTGACCTCACCGATGACACACAGTTGCTCAGCTACTTCTCTACCCTTGACATCCAGGTACTACAGCCCCTGGGACTCGGGGTTCCCTGGGCTCTGGACAAGAACTCAAGCAACCCATCACCTCTGCATCCTATCCCCAGCTTCGGGAAAGCCTAGAGCCAGATGCCTATGCATTATTCCACAAGAAGCTGACTGAGGGTGTGCTGATGAGGGACCCCAAGTTCTTGTGGTGTGCTCAGGTAAGTAGCCTGCCCAGAGGAGCTGACTGTGGAGGGCCAGAGGATGGTGACAGATCAGGCCGTGGATATCTTTATGCGCTTGCACCCACAGTGCTCCTTTGGCTTCATCTATGAGCGGGAACAGCTGGAGGCAACATGTCCCCAGTGTCAACAGACCTTCTGCGTGCGCTGCAAGCGCCAGGTGAGGGCATGTTCAACCTTTCAGAAATACTTGCTGAGCTACTGCCAGGTGATGTGTTAGACTCTGGAGGCATATTGGAGAACAAAATGGATAAAATCGTTGAACTCAAAGAGCTTACAGAGAGACAGGCAGAAGAGGTAAGAGAGGACAGAAGAAAGGAAGAGGAGGAAGAAAAAAAATTATACCTAGGCATAATTCTATGAGGAAAACAAACAGGAATCTAAGATAAGGAATAACAGACTGGACCTGCTTAGGATAGAGAGGTCAGACAAGTCTTCTCTAATATGGCTTCATTTTAGAAAATTAAGAAGTTTAAGAAGCAGCTAGCCATGCAAAGAGTATTTAGGACAAAAAAACAACAGATGGAAAGTCCAAAGTGAAAAATAAGTGTTTTGTACTGGAGCCTTGAGCAAGGGTGAGAGTGGCAAGAGATCAAAGAGGAGCTAGCTGCTAGGTCAGGACAGGCCTAGAGGCCAGGTGAGGTTGTGTTTGCTTTCATTCTAAGGTTAAACAAGGGGTGATGCTATCTTGTTTGCCTCTTGAAAGGCTTACTGTTGAATACCAAAACAGTTCATCTATGTTTCAATAAAATGAACATCTAAGACCCCACCACTAAACCTCAAAACTAGAATATTACCAATATCACTGAATCTACTGATTTCATGTTTAAAGACCATTTTGGCTGCAATGTAGAGATTGGACTATAGAGGAGTTGGAGTAGAAGCCTGGAGACAAGTAATCTAGGCAAGACCTGGGGTGAGATGGTAGTGCTAGGGATGAAGAGCAGGATTAAGATAGGTGTGGGTGGTAGAATACCCAGATTTGCTGGTGAATATGGGGAGTCTGAGAACATGAAAGAATCCAAGATAGGTCCTCAGTTTTCAGTCTAAGCAAATGGTGGGTGGTAGTGACATAAGCTAAGCTAGGGGTGCCTGGATATGAGTGGAGAGCCCAATAAGAAAGACTGGGGCCTGAGATTGAGCCTGCTTTCCTTCTGGCAGTGGGAGGAGCAGCACCGAGGCCGGAGCTGTGAGGATTTCCAGAACTGGAAACGTACCAATGACCCAGAATATCAGGCCCAGGGCCTGGCCATGTATCTTCAGGAGAATGGAATTGGTAAGGCTGCCCTGCTTGGCCTGTTTGCCTAGTTGCCTATGGCTCTCCTTGAGGGCCTAGAGGAATAGTGGCAGTCTTCACTCAGACCTCTTGTCTCCCTTGCAGACTGCCCCAAGTGCAATTTCTCATACGCACTGGCCCGAGGAGGCTGCATGCACTTTCACTGCACCCAGTGCCGCCACCAGTTCTGCAGTGGTTGCTACAATACCTTTTATGCCAAGAATGTGAGCCCAGAGGGGATGGAAGGACTAGAAGGGTGTGGGGCTGCCATTGGGTTTGAGGTCCAGAGGCCAGGGAGGGATGGCTCAGGGGAAGAGAAGAGGAAGTCAAGATAGGGTAAAGCATCTCTCCCTGTACCCTTTTCCCTTGCCTGCTCTAGACCTTCCAATCTCCATATCCCCCCACCCCTATACCATTCATGCAAGGACCAGAAGCCAGAACCCAGTAGTCTCCAGCTTCCTCCTCTCCTATCTGGGTTTCCTCTAGAAATGTCCGGATCCTAACTGCCGAGTGAAAAAGTCCCTGCATGGCCACCACCCTCGAGACTGCCTCTTCTACCTGCGTGACTGGACTGCTCCCCGGCTCCAGAAGCTGTTACAGGTCAGGGACGGCCAGCCCAGCTGGCTTTGCAGATTGGAGGCAGAGTCCAGGGTGGGCTAAAAGGGGAAAGGCTAGGAAACGCAACAGGGGCTGGCATCAAGGGACATAACGCCCATCTGTCTCTCTGTTCCTTCTCAGGACAATAATGTCATGTTTAATACAGAGCCTCCAGCTGGGGCCAGGGCAGTTCCTGGAGGTGAGTGCTAGCCAAGCCTTCGAGAAGAGAAGCTGGTATATTGGGCTTCCACTGTGTGGCTGGGATAAAGGAGATCGTGGATCTAGGACCAGACCTGAGCACAAAGCTTGTCCTTTGCTTACTTGTTTTGTACCCTTGGGCAACTTAATGAATGCCCATGAGCCTTGTTTCTTCCTCTGTAAGACAGAGGGTAATATCCACCTTTCATCTAAGCTATTTACACAATACAACACTAAAGTACTTGGCATCCATGAGGCCCTCAATACTCTCTTCCATTCCCAAATGATAATGATTAATTAATTAACTCAATTAGTATCTAATGAAACCTGCTATTTGGAGGGCACTATTTTAAGTTCTATGAGGGCTACAGAAAGGTGTTGTTCGTGGTTCTAACCCACCCCATGCCTTACCATTTAGATAGAGGTTAGGCCCTTATAAGGTACCTGCACAAGAGCTAAATAACAACCAAAAGAGCTGTTTCAACGGAGTATGTGTTATTGGGTCAAAAGCCAGTATGGATAAAAGCAGGGACAGCAAGGTCCCTGCTTCTGTGTCAGAGAGTTAGTTGGTCTGTAGCTGATGGCATCTCTAAGCATCCCACCACTGCCACTGTTAAAGCTGAGGATCTTGTCCTCATTCCCCTCCCTGGAGGTCACCTCCCCATGCCTCCATGAACTTCCAATTCCAGGGCTTTTACGGTTATTGGCCTCCTCCCAACAAAAGGTCCTTTCTTTTCCTTATCCTTAGGTGGCTGCCGAGTGATGGAGCAGAAAGAGGTTCCTAATGGGCTCAGGGATGAAGCCTGTGGCAAGGAGACCCCAGCTGGCTATGCTGGCCTCTGCCAGTAAGTACCAGGCAGGGCATGGAGCATGGTGTTGGCATCGGGAGTAGGAGGGGTGAGGGTAGGCCTAGGCAATAAAGGCAGTCTTCAGTAAATCCTGAAGGGATTGGGAAGGAGGAGTTCTTTGGTCAAGGGCAGGGATAGGTAATAGCTGGCAGTGTGCAACAGGCAAGGGTTATTTGTCGTATTCATTGGCATATTCCAGTGCCCAGTAAAGTGCTTAACACGCTCAGTAAATATTAGCCTGATAAAAAATATTCTGCCCTCTCATCTCCCCAGGGCACACTACAAAGAGTATCTTGTGAGCCTCATCAATGCCCACTCGCTGGATCCAGCTACCCTGTTTGAAGTGGAGGAGCTGGAGACAGCCACTGAGCGCTACCTGCACGTGCAACCCCAGCCATTGGCTGGAGAGGATATCCCTGCTTACCGTGCCCGCTTGTTACAGGTAAAATCTACACCCAGCCTCACCTCTAACCCTACCCTCCAGCCTGTGTCGGAGCACAGGCTGCCAGTATTACCATCTTCTCTCTCCTTCTGCAGAAACTGACGGAAGAAGTGCCCTTGGGACAGAGTATCCCCCGCAGGAGGAAGTAGTTGAAGACAACGGCCCTGATGAGGGGCCATCTCCCTCAGGAACAGCTCCAGCACCAATAAAGAGGCATCTCCTTGCCCAGGCTTCTTGGTGGTCCTTCTTCCAGGCCCCATCATTTAGGGGCCCCTGGGAAAGAGGGGGGTGAACAGAGCAATGTTGGAAAGTCTGTCTGCAACCTCCCACCAGACCCTCCCTGGTCTCAGCACCAGGAAGGAATTGGCAGTATGGATGGGTATGGGAGGATTTTTGCATCCAGCCACCTGGCCTGGCCTGGGCTTCTTCTCTTCCCACTCACTCTTTTCATCTAATTCACCTGATCTTTGAGCTCACCTAATATGTGCCAAGCAGGCACTGTGGGGAACACGGGTGCATAGACTACATAGCAATCCAGAGGCCTTAGGCCAGCAGAGGTCAAGGCCCCAAGCAGTGAGTGTCTGAAGGAGGAAGGGGGATGAGACAGGCAGGCCCTTACCTTCTGCTGACCCCCTGGCTCCCAGGGGAAGGCGTCCTCTTGCTGCTGACCGTGAGATTCTCTGGTGCTACCGCCCCCTGGTGGCAGCTGGTTGCCCTGCAACTCAGAGACCACGTGATTTCTGGGAAAAGGACTTCACCGGAGGAGAACTGAAACTTAGGGTGGGGACTGGAGGAAGGGGCGGAGAGATCAAGAAGCTGTCTAGCCGGGAGCTGAGCTGAGAGCCGCTGAGCCCTGGGACAGCCTGCATAGCCTGCTCAGGTAAGAGCAAAGATGGATGTCAGCCTGGGGTCTGTGGCTAAAAACCGGGCCAGGTTGGGGGTGGGGGCACCAAGGCACCCCTGCTAGGTTGTGGAATAGGCCGGAGGCCTGTAAGCCAGGAAGCAGGAGGTTTGGCCTGAGGCAAGAGCTTGACCAGGGCCTAGCATCCCATGGCCTGTTGGCAAAGGACAGGAGGACCCGATGCAAGATTGTTCTGGGAGGAAGGCTCTTTGCCACAAGCCTCCGTTGGCCCTTTTTTGTTTTCCTTCCCTTGTGGCCCTGCCCATTTCCGCTGCAGCTCCACCTCCAGCTCCCAGCCCTACCTACCCCTAGTGCAATCAAGTAAGGTGGTTAGCAAAGGTGGTGGGGGCTGTGGGTGAAGAGGGTTGATAAGGCATCTCCAAAGCAGATACTGCCTCTGCAAACGTTTGGGTACCTAGGCAGTGCCTTTCACCAGGATCAAAACACTAAGGCAATTTTCTCTCCCAAATAAAGTCCTGAAAAGTCTTAAAATTTAAACCAATACCTAAAATTTCCTTGCAGATGTCACAGCTTGTGATATTAAAAGGACCGTATATTTTTTAATTGCTAGTGGTGGCAGAAATGAAACAATTCTGCTTTAGAGAATTTTGAGATTTATCAGCTGAAAGAAGATGGGTGGATTGTGATGGGGTCTCTAGGACCCTTGGCACAGTCTGGCCCCAGTGGCCAGGATCTCACAGATGTTTCCTCCCGAAGTGTCAGTTCTGCTGATGGTTCCCACTCTTTCTTGTCTCCAGGATGGCATCAGGCAGGGTGCGCTGCACCCGAAAGCTCCGGAACTGGGTTGTGGAGCAAGTAGAGAGCGGAAAGTTCCCAGGGGTATGCTGGGATGATAAAGCTAAGACCATGTTCCGGATTCCTTGGAAACATGCAGGCAAGCAGGACTTCCGGGAGGACCAGGATGCTGCCTTCTTCAAGGTGAAGAGGCCTGGAAACCATCCCTTCTAAGTGAGGGCTGGAGTATACACTGCCTGTTCTTACCCTAAAGGAGCTGTGTCTGCCCAGGTTTCAGATACGGGAGATTGAAGGGTAGAACTAGCTGCATAATTTGCCAGTGCACAATGAAAATGTGGAACTCTTGTTCAAAATATACTAAGAATTTCCAGATGACAACACCAGAGTGTGGATATGCATAGGTCTGTCCGTGTACAGAGCCCTGTGCAAGTGCACAAGTTGCATGCCTGTGAAGCCAGCCCTGTTGGAGGGTTAGCTAGGATCTGTAACAAGCTGTGTCGTCTTCCTTCTCTTTCCTAGGCCTGGGCAATGTTCAAGGGAAAGTACAAGGTGGGAGACTCAGAAGGCCCTGCCACTTGGAAGACTCGCTTGCGCTGTGCCCTTAACAAGAGTCCTGAATTTGAGGAGGTTCCTGAGAAAGGACATATGGATGGGGCTGAGCCCTACAAGGTCTATCGGTTGCTGCCACCAGGAACCCTTCCTGGTGAGCCCCTTGCCCAGCCATTCCTAGAATGATCAGACTGGTGAGGAAGTATGGAGGCCAGAGCCTCTTAGAAGGGTGCTGGGCCTCCCTCCAGGTCTCTC